TTCCAAAGTTGATTGTACCACTTGATACCATCAGTGTGTGAGAGAGTTCTAGTTGTTCCATATGCTCATTAGCAAATTATATGGTCACTTTAAAAAATGATTATGGTTTTAATTTGAATTTTATTAATAACTAATGATGAACATTTATCTGCTTTTCATAGATCTTCTTTTGCCCATTTAAAAAGAAATTATTTTATTATTGAGTTGCAAGAATTTTTTCTATACTGTACCCCAGACATGTCTTTTGTCAAATATGTGTTATAGATATTTTCTCCTAAGCTTTGGCTTGCCTTTTTCATTTTTGTAGCAATATCTTTGAAGCACAAAAGTTTTTAATTTTGGCAAATTCAATTTATTTTTATTTTCTTCCATAATCTTAATTTGTGTTAAGTGTTTGCCTAACCCAATTCACTAAGATTTTGTTTGATGCTTTCTTTTAGAAGTTTAGATCTGTGATCCATTGGAAGCAAAATTTTGTGTATGTCCCATGGAAAGTGTTGAGATTCTTAGCCCTTCTCTCATATGGCCCTCTTGTTGTTTGTTCCAACAGCATTTGTTCAATAAATTATCTTCTCCCTATTGGCACCTTTTATTAAAAAAAATTGCATGTGTTGGTTATTTCTGGACTCTGCTGTGTTTCATTGATCTTTTTGATATCTTTACACCAATACCATACTGCCTTGAGTACTGTAACTTTCATATTAAATCTTGAAATAAGGTAGTATGGGTATTCCAACTTTGTTCCTCTTTTTCAAAGATCTTTTGACTATTCTAGGTCTGGGATTCCATTGAATCTATAGGTTAATTTAGTGAGAATTAACATCTTACTAACATTGAGTCTTCTAATCCATGAAAACAATATATTTATTTGCTTTCTTTAATTTCTGAGTATGTCTTGTAGTAGTTACTCTATAAGACTTGCATATTTTCGTCCTATTTGTCCCTAAGCATTTCCTGGTTTTTTTTTGATGCTATTGTCAACAGTATTTTTTAAAGTCCAATTTTCAATTGGTCATTGCTAGTATACAGAGATTCAGCCCATTTTTGTACATTAACTTGTTTCTGCAACTTTGCTAAACTGACTAGTATATTTTGGTAGATTCCATAGTATTTTCCATATAATTGATCATATTTGTGGATAAAGATAGTTTCATATTCTTCCTTTCTAGCTTCTATGCTTTTATTTCTTGATTGATTACATTACTAGAATTTCTAGTGCAACGTTAGATAGATGTTAGGATGTAAATACCTTTCTGCCATAAAATACCATGTTAGCTAGAGGTTTTTCCATACATACTTTTTTTTTTTTTTTGGATTAAGGAAGTTCCTTTACATTCCTAGATCCTTGAGAGTTTTCCTTTTTTTTTTAAATTTTTAAAGTCTGGAATGGATATTAGAATATTTGCTATGTTTTTCTGTGTTATATAGTTTCTTTTTAAGTCTGTTAATTTGTTGAATTATAGTGATAGGGTTTTGAATGTTAAATCAATTTTGCATTCTTGGGATAAATCCCAATTAATGATGTATTATGCTTATTTATATATTGCTGAATTTCATTATCATATAAAGAATTTTGGTATCTATGTTCATGAGGGATAGTGGTTTGTAGTTTTCTTTTTTTACAGTGTCTTTGGTTTTGTTCCTCATAAGAATACTTTTTCTGATACAATTTTTTTGAAGAGTTTGGTTAGCATTTTTATTCTCTCTTCAGTAAATGTTTGGTAATTTTCAGCAGTAAAGCTGTTTTTGTGTAGGGTTTTTTTTTTTTTTTGGCTGGGTGTATGTGTAAAAAGTACCCCACTGGTACTTTTTAATTAGAAGTTGAATCAGTTTTACAATAAGCATTTACATTATGTTTTATTTGCTGTATCACACATGTATCCATTTATTCACCCTTCTACGCAGTCATCAATCTACTTGTAACTGATGTAGTACAAAATAACTTATAGACAGTGCTATACTCTTAAATGCATTTCTATTTGAGTTTTATTTTTATATTTCTTGAAGTCAAATTAAAATAAAATTAAATGTAAAAATCTTAAGTGTACCATTCAATGAATTTTGACAAATGCATGCACTTTTGTAACTCATCCTTTTTAAGATATAACTAATTACCATTATCCAAGTTTCTCTCGTGCCTCTTATTGGGGAGTCCCAACCTACACTCCCAAATGTAAGTGCTAATATGATTTTCTTCCATAAAGTAGTTTTGTTTTTCCTAGAACTTCATGAGTGACTTCTTTTGCTTGGAGTAAAATTTTTGAGATTTATTTATATTATTGCCTTGTGTCAGTAGTTCACTTTTCCTAATGTTAATTTATAGTATAACTGAATTTCATTGAAGTCAGTCAGTATGTTCCATGTAATGCCATATGCTTAGTTTATGCCCTACTACTAGATGGTTGATTTTCATGAAGGTTGCTAGTGTTTCTTGAGAAGCATGGGTATTGTGTTTTGTTGGTTTATACTTCTTAATGTTTCTTTTCAATCAACCTAGTTATTCATGTTATTTCTTAATGGACTTAGAAAATCTCTGTGTTAATATTTATGCTTATGTTTTTCATCTTTTGTAGTTATTTTAAGTTTAAATGTAAAAAAATGGATTTCTTTCAATATATAACTTTATGGTTCTGACAGATGCATACATTTGGATGCACAATAGTCCATCAATCCTCAGAATGTCCTCCCATTACTCTTCCTCACCTGTACCAGTCAACCCTTCCCCTAATCTCCTGCTACTGGAAATTGCTGATTCCTACAGTTTTATCTTTTCTTAAATGCCAAATAAATTGTACAGTTTGGCCAGGCACAGTGGCACATATCTTTAATCCCAGTGGCTTGGGAAGCTGAGATAGGAGGATTTTAAGTTCAAAGCCAACCTCAGGAAAAGTGAGGCACTAATCAACTCAGTGAGACCCATCCCCACACAAAAAAATCATAGTTTGTATTTTACCTAGCAAAATGCATTGTGATTCCTCTATGTTGTATGCATTAATAGTTGTTCCTTTTTATTGCTGAGTAGAAATCTATTGTATGGATGTACCATAGTTTGTCTCTCTGTTTCATAGTTGAAGGACACTGGGTTGCTTCCATTGTTTTTTGGAATGAAACTGCCATAAATTTTGTGTACAGGTGTTTGTGTGAACCTAAGTTTTTATTTCTTTAGGAGTGGGATTGCTATGTTTTATGTAAGTGCATAACTTTATAGATCTATTTCTTTAATTTTGCTAATGTTATCAGTTTCTTCTTGCATTATCTTTGGTAGTTTTGTCTTTGAAGGATGTGTCCATTTTCAGTTCAAGTAATAGACTTATAGTTGTGCCCCACCCCCATAGGTTATCTTTTAAAACCTATACAACCTGCTGTGAAATAACCTCTATTGTTAGTATTTAAAGTATTTGTCATTGTCTTTCTTTCTGAACACTTTGGCTAGAAATTTATCAGTTTTATAATTTCAAAGAACCAACTTTTGATTTCACTGACTTTTCTATATTGATTTTCTGTTTTTTTAACTAGGTGATTTCTGCTTTGATACTTAACTATTTTCTCTCTTCTGCTTACTTTGGGTTTAATATAACAGAAAAAAGTCATTCTCTTCTTAGAAATAAATGACAGATTTTACAACCCTGTGCTAAGTCCAAATTTGGAGAGAATGAAATTGTGGTGCTATTTTTAATTAATGGAAGGACACAGGAATTTTTGTTGTTTTAAATATTGATTTTTTTTCTGTTCATGATCTCCTTTTCAAACTCTGAATGAAATAATTCTGTAAATTGTGAAGTACTTGGAATTCCAGTGACAAGTCCTATGAAATTTACCATAATCAGAGCAAACACTGTTAAAAGTATGGAATATCATTTAAGTGGGGCAAAATATTGTCCTTAGGAATAAGACTTTATTCTTGGCTCTAATCTTAGTGATTTTTTTTTTAAACCCAAAGGACTATATAGTTTTTACTTGAATTAAAAATATATCACCTTATCATTTGATAAGTGGATGGGACTGGTGAACATTATGCTAAGTGAAATAAGCCAGACTCAGAAAGATAAGGGTCAAATGCTTTCTCTCATGTGGAGATGGGGAAAAAAAGGAATTTATAAAAAAAGAGGAGTGGGTTTGAAAAAAATAGTAGGAAGACAAAAAGAGTGGAGGAAGGGATTTGAGAGGGAGGGAAAAAGGGAGGGTATGGGGAAGTACTGAGTAGTAAAAGCTACCAAATTATGCTGTGTCCATGTTTGAATATATCACCCATATACATATATATGTATGTTTATACATACATATATATACACACATATACACACAGCGTGTATATACATATATATATATATATAGCTTTTCCATTTATAATTATAACACATTAATTAAAATAATAATATAATAAAAGGGAGATCAGTAGAGCAAGTGCTTCAGGGGAGGGAAGATGAGAGGGAAAGGGAAGATGTTAGGTTGATCAAATTGTTCACGTACAAATATGGCATAATGAATCTCATTATGTATAATTACAAAGCACCCATGAAAATAATCGAACAATTTTTAAAAAATTTATTTACACCCTCTAGTCTTTCCAAAAGTAATTTCTAATTAAGGTATCAGGCAGTTCTGGAGTTGTTTTCTTATGCGGTGCTTCCATATATTGGTGTAAGAAATATCAGCAGTGGAAGGAGTAGAATTTATATTCTTTTTTTTTTTTTTGGTTGTCTTCCAAAGCCTGCATTAGAATTAAGGAAACAGGCCACTTTACTGTTTGAGCATTCTATTTCAGTGTTAAAGAAGCTTTATTTTCCTTTGTAAATAGAAGCATGTTTATTTTTGAGACAAATGAAATTAGCTTAAAATTGGTTTGAATTTCTTTTTTAAATGGTTATTTCTTTTGTTGTCTTTATAAGAAGAAATATGGGTGCTATTAGATTTGGAATATTGATGTCATATTTATAAAACTACAAGAAAATTATTTTGTTTATGTTTCTAATTACTCAATGTTATATTTTATCTTTTAGATCCTGTTTGACCAAACTCAGAGATCAATTAAAGCACAACTTCAGAACTTTGTTAAAGAGTAAGTTAGTTGCAGTGAAGAGGAAGGAAAAATAACCAGTTAATGATCACATCTGGGGATTGGTATCTTGAACGAAATTATGGACAATGAAATACTGAAAATATTGGAGTTTTTGTTTGCTTTGTGTAATGAATATGGCATTTTTTTCCCCTGAGTTAATAATATAAGGGAATCAGATAGCATGTCTTTCAGTGAATCATTTATATCATGAGTATGTGTTCAAAATACATAGCTAAGGCTGTTATGGGTGTAAATTAAAAATATAGTGGCCTTTATATGTATCTATAAAAATACGTTTATGTATATACCTATGTATATATATAAAACTCAAATGTGGTTAAAATACTATTAGTTAACCATGAGAAAACTAAGTTATCTCTTGTTCTGTGGTATTTTTCTTTGAAGAGAAGATTAATGTAATATGTGAGAATGAGTTGTGGAAGCACATACTTTGTGTTATGTGACCTTTTATGTCAGTTATCATATTTTGTATGTGAAATAAAACTGAACAAAAAATTTTAAAAAGTCTTCCCATGTTAATAATGTAGTTTTTCTCTTTTAATTCCTGAGACTTTTATAAGATTATAATACTGCAGTCAGAATAAATTATAGAGATTATAAGATGTGAATAGTAACAGAATAGTTTTAGAGTTTATCCTGGAGATGATATCTCAGACTCTTTTGTTGTTGTTGTTGTTGTTTTGGTTGTGCTAAGGATTGAACCCAGAGTCTTGTGCATGCAAGGCAACCATTCTACTAACTGAGCTATGTCCCCAGCCCTGACAATCTTTATAATTACTTCATAATAGATTAACACTCAGACTGTCCTCATAGAATGTATACATAAAAATTTATGTCATCTTTGTTACAGAGTGTAGAAAGTCTCTTTTAGATGTATTTTATTAAAATTAAAAAACCTTTCATCTGCAAGTTATTTTATCTAATTCCCTAATAGTGAAAGTGAAGAGATGTTGTATTAGGTACCTAAAATCATTATCAAATCAAGGATTTCACATTTAATATTGAAAGGGATGTGGTTGGCTGTCACTGCCATAATTCTTTTAGAAACTTGTGTGTGTGGGAAACTTATTGGTGTCCTTTGACCTGATACTTCCTTGTAGCAGTAAAATGAAGGTGTGTCTAAAAACAAAATGACCCCCCACCAAAAAAAAAGCTCTTCAGATTTCCAGGATTAATCACAAAGACTAATGAATTGTAATATTTGGGAAAGGATTTTGGAATCTTCATTTTATACAAGTGCCCTATGTGTATTACTGTTTAAAAATTATCTGATAAAATCATGGCACATGCCTATGGATTCATTTTCAGAAAAAAATTTACTTTGTTTTTGTTATGTTAATTTGACATTATACATTTTTACCTCAAGTTATATAGATTCCTACAATAAAATGTTAGCTTGCAGTATCAGGACTTATATATACAGGTAGAGCATACCTAATCTAAAATCTGAAATACTCCTAATCTAAAATCTGAAATACTCCAAATCTGAAATCTGAAACTTTTTGAATACTGGGGTTTGGATTTTTGAATTAGGGATGCCTAAAGTCTACACAGATATTCCCCCAAACAGGAAACTATGAAATCTGAAACTCTTTTGGTCATAGGCATACTTCTGAAAAGGATACTCAACCCCTTAGTGGAAAATAATATACATTTTAGTTGGAAGAGCTAGTGAATATCAGTGCACAATTAAATAAATAAATGGAGGAACATAAGAATTACATTCAAAAGCTATTTTGTCAAAAGTTTTTGATCAAGAAAGTTTCATGAAAGCTTCATTGTTTTTATTTTTTAGAGATCTTAGAAAATTCAAAGATGCCAAGAAGCAGTTTGAAAAAGTCAGTGAAGAGAAAGAAAATGCATTAGTAAAAAATGCCCAAGTACAAAGAAATAAGCAGCATGAAGTTGAGGAAGCCACAAACATTCTGACAGCCACAAGAAAGTGTTTTCGACACATAGCCCTTGACTATGTGCTTCAGGTATGTATTTTATTATTATATGTTTTCAGTTTTACTAAATAGGGTGTTGTGTTTGATTGGACTAAAAAGAAAAAATAGCACTTTTTCACTGAGTTTAGAATTAAATTATGATCTTTTGTGAAAAAAATTCACCTGTCTAAATGTTTTTGTGTGTACACATACACCCATGTGTGTGGACATGTATGTCTTTGATTTCGAATTCTTCTTTTAACTTAATTATAACTTCCCCCATTTTGGAATGTTTTTAAAAAGCATTTTAAATTGCTATATGTATTTTATTCTATGGAGTTGATAGGTCAATTTAATTAATAGATGACCATCAGACTTTTATAATATTGGCAGTTTTTTTCTGGTAATAGTGAAAATATAATTTTTATTAATTTTATGTTAGCATCTTTATATATACATCCTTTGCCACATTTCTGATTATTTCTATAGAGTAGATTCTTACAAGTATTAAGGCTCACTGTATTGCCAAAAGAAAAATATTTCTGGAAGTAGTGTTCTCATATTTTTGCATTAGATACTACTTTTAAAAATTAGAGATCTGGGGCCAGGGTTGTAGTTCTATGGTAGAACTCTTACATAGCATGCTCGAGGCCCTGGTTTTGACTTCCAGCTCCACAAAAACCATAACAACAAAACAAAACAAAAAACAAAAACCCTAGAGATCCATATTTGGTACATTCCTTGTGATCTTTTGTCCAATGTATAATTAAAACTAGTTTGATAAAAAAATAAAATTAAAAAAAAAAAAAAAATAAAACTAGTTTGAATGTGATAGGTTTCCAAAGGAATTCAAGACACATGAAAAATGAAGGCATAAGATATTATTTCACATGTACATTATATTGCTACATCATGGAGTTTAAAGCTTAAAAGCTTAGGGAATTCCCTCGTCCAGATCTCCCTTTACAGATTGTTGACTTCAAGATGATTATAGGGTATTTCTTAAAAAATATTTTTCTGTATACAGAAACTTGGCAGAACAGTAGAAACTGAACTTTAAGATTTTTTTTTCTAGTTAAATTTCTTTTCAGTAGGTGGAAAGTTAAATTTTTAAAAATGCAGTATACTCCGTTTGTGACTCTATTCTGTAGAATAGAGTCGTCTGTGTTTGCTCTGTCCTGTGTCCTACCTCATTTTCATACCCTTTCCTGCCACAGCGTGAGTCCGCCACCTCTGACACTTCTCTGAAGTGGCTCATACAAAGGTCTTATTCCTTAGGCATATTTTAATTTTTATCCTACTTGGCTCTTCTGTGTCATTGAGATGGTAGACCATATCCTCCTTCTTGAAATATATTTTTGCCTTGATTTACTTGAAACCCCTTTTAGGTTCGCCTCTAACTCCTGTTTCTTGTCAGTTTCAATTTGTTTCTCAGCCTTCTCTCCTTTATCTGTAATTCTCAGTCTTCTTTTTGGGGTTTCATCTTTGGTCCCCTCTCTTCTTACTTTCTTATTCTTTGACATCCTCATCATGTCCCTTGCTTGAATTGCTCAACCTGTACATGGAAGAAAAAAAATCTATTTTTTAACAGAAGTGCCCCATTCTCAGTGTGTCTAAAACTGGGGCTGGGGATGTGGCTCAAGTGGTAGCGCGCTCGCCTGGCATGCGTGCGGCCCGGGTTCGATCCTTAGCACCACATACAAACAAAGATGTTGTGTCCACCGAAAGCTTAAAAATAAATATTAAAAAATTCTCTCTAAAAAAAAAAATAAAAATGCTTCTGTCTTTTCCTTTCACTTAGCCTCTTAGAAGTTCAAAATGGGAGAATCATACTAGCTATTTTTATTCTAAATTACCATATCTAGCTACAAACTACTCTGGAAACGCCCTTCATTTACCTCTTAAATTGGTTTTCCTTATCTTTGCTGTTTTGTGTATGGAGCATTGAGGTATTCTTGTACAATTGGCCTTCCTAACACTGACTTTACCTGCCCTGTCACTGATTGTCTGTCATCCCTATGGTCAGTATTATGCAGATTTCTCCAAGAATGAATCATTCTTGCCTCTACTGCATTTAGATCACTTTGCACATTTACTGTAAAGATGTATTTATGTATCTTTTCTATTCCAAGATTGTATCCCTAACTTCTAGTCCAGTGGTTGAAAAATAGATAGGTAATAAACTTTTTTTTTTTGAAAGAGCAAAATACTTAATGCTATGAATTTTTATATGTGAGGGGAGTTTAGCTAAAATATTCAATACTTTCAAACTTACACCTTATAAATAATCCATTTCCTTTGGTGTTCAAACCTCTCTCCGCCTCAGAAAAATATTTGATTTTTCTGATGAGAACTGTTGTTTCACTTTATTTTGTGACTATAGAATAGTAATAAATATCCAAAGGTATAAAGTTTATTATGCTTTAATGTCTCTGTTTGAATGTACTGTTTTTTTTTTCAAGAATGCAAAAGCAGTTTTTTTTTTTCAAAAAAAAAAAAAAAAAAAGGGATATAAAACAGGTACTTTTAACAGTTTTAATAGTTTTCAAAGTTTGTATCTTAGGCTGTTCTCAGTCTCTGCTTCTATTTCTATTGGATATTAATATTCGAGCTCAAAACGCAGTGGGGTTTGAAATAGACATGCAAAACAAACTAATGCTTAATTAAAAGAAGTTATTTAGAACAGAGCATGGTGGCACACACCTGTGATCCTAGCTACTTCGGAGACTGAGGCAGGAGGATTGCAAGTTTGAGATCAGCCTTAGTGAGATACTATCTCAAAATAAAAAATAAAATGGACTGGGATGTACCTCAGTGGCAGAGAGCACTGAGGTTATTTAGGCTTTTAGAAGGTTATATAGATTTTTCTTGTTCTTTTTTTGTCTTATAGTCAAAGCTTTAAAATTATAAAATAGAGAATTCAGCAGGAAGGATATATTAATAATAATTATTAATAAATTTTTAACAGTACTAGCAAAGAGTAAATGATTCTAGAGTCAAGAGATCCCATGAAAGGCAAATCTATTGGTTACTTGTCTTTTGTTAAGTTTAGTCTAGTTACAATATTTAAGGTTCATTATTTTATTTAGGGAATTGAGTGCTTAATGTGTGCTGCCTGGGGGACTAAAGCTAAGATTAAGGCAAAGATCCTGATCTTATGAAACTAATACTTGAGCTTGGGGGGGGGGGGGGAAACAATAAGGAAACGTATGGTAGTTTTAAATGCTGCAGGTAAAATTAATCACGCCAATGTGCTAGACAGTGTGCGAGGGACTGCATTAGACCTTTGTGAGGATGAGGTAGTTAAGGGCTGACTAGTAAGAGATAGCCTCAAGCCCATGAAAGCAGCACATCCAGAGTATAGACAGAACAGCTAGTACAGAGGCAAGCTGGTGGGAGGGAGGTCTTGGGTTGTGGCTGCAACTGCAGCCCAGCAGGGAGAAAGTAATTGAAAGGTAGTTGGAGAGGGAGGCTAGGGCCTCATCACATTGGGCCTTGCCAGACAGAGCAGGAACACAGAGGGTTTTAAACTATAGGATCTTATTTATATTTTCAAAAGATCGTTCTGGTGCCCACGTGGATCATGGATTGTACAGAGTTGAGGGGAAGCAGAGACTAGTTCATAGACTATTTCAACTGTCTAGAGTAGAGGATATGGTGATACAGTGAGAAGAATTTGCAATCAGGCTGTATGTTGATGTGCAAATAGATAAGGAAGATCAGAAAAATATGGAATTCTCAGAATTCAAATATCAAAATAGTTCTATCACTTGGATATTATAATTTAAATAGCCAAGTATTTATTGAGTTAAAAATGGTTGAGAATTTTGTTGGTATGTTCATCTTAACTTTTTGCAGAAAAAGGGTCAAAGTATTAAAAACTTGTGCTTTGGTCTTATTTTGGAAAGTATTAAACCATCAGGATAAACAGTTTTTACAATATTGAAAAATGGTTTAGTTTCTTAAATAATGCATAAGTGATTAACCAAGTGTATTTTCCTTTAGATTAATGTCCTTCAATCAAAAAGGAGATCAGAAATCCTAAAATCAGTAAGATATTAATTGAAATAATGTTTTAAATATTTTAATGTAAAATTATATAAGTATTTATAGCAGCATCTAGTATATACATACTTGGTTGATTGATAATTGCTATTTTTGATCTTTATTTGTATATCTTATATCACAGAAATGATTTATTGTGTTTCCTTCTTGTTGTAGTTTATGTGCCTCATCTATTAATGCACTGTGAATGCATTTATTTTCTATTATTTTAATACAGCACTGTACATATACTAAATGCTCAGTGCTATTTTGTGGATAACTGCAAATGGTTTGTGTAAAAGCCTATGAGAATATTTCAGAATTTGCTTTGAAATGTATAAAAATGAAATACTATAGCTTTTAGATTTTGAATTTTCTCTCATTCCTATTCTTAGAATTTTTTTGCACAGCTGAACCAGGTGTGGTAGTGCATTCCTGTAATCCCAGCAATTTGGAAAGCTAAGGCAGAAGGATCACAAGTTTGAGGCCAGCCTCAGCAAACTGGCAAGACCCTGTCTCAAAATAAAGGGCTGGGGATTTAGTCAGTGGTATAGCCTCTAGGTTCAATCCCTAGTACCAAAAAAGAAAAAAAAAAATTCTGCATAACTATTTCAAAGTGTTTGCATATTTCTCTATAAACAAACTTGAGTTTTGTCTTTTCATCTTTTGTATAATTGTTATTCACCAAATTGCATTGAGCATTTAGTATATGTACAACACATAAAATAGACTTTTAAAATATTTGAGATTGAATAGTTAAGTGAGTAGTATCATTTGGATAATTTTTTCCTTAAAGTTGATGTGTCAGTTTTTTGGTTTGTTCTTTGGTGTCCAGTTACAAAATGAATGGGATGAAATTTGAGGATCATTGTTTTTTTTTTTTTTTTTTCTTAACCTTTTTGTCTCCAGTGACAATGATATATATTTAATACCTGCCTCCTCCTTTGATCTTAAAGCCAACTAGAAAGTGAGCAGCGGGATGGTATATATGTGGTGTGGCACTCTTTTTTGAGAACTTTCAAAATAATATGTTCTCTTTGAATTTGTTAGCAGATAAATTTTTTTTTTTCTCTCCCAAAACTACGTACTTAAATGTTCTCACCTAGATTTTCCCTAAACTTTGTTAAATTCATGTTGTATCTTACCAGGTAATTAGGTTATACTTACTGTTTTTAAATGCTGTTTATACTATGCTTGTTTTCCAGATTGACAATAATGGGTGGACAGTAATATTTTATGATGCTTTTTTTTAATCAGGTAGAATTCTGCCACTTAAATGTACCAGGGATGAACAAACTTTTTTTTTTTTTTTTTTGGTAGGGGGGTAAAAGCTAGGTAGTAAATATGATAGGTTTTACAGGCCTTGTGATCTCTGTTGCTGTTACTCTGCTGTGCCCTTGTAATGAGAGAGCAGATATAGGTTCATATATAAATGAATAGTTTTGGCTGTGTTTCCAATAAGCCATTTACTTATGGACACAAAAATTTGAATTTCATATAATCTCTACATATCATGAATTTCTTATGTTCTTTTCATTTTCTTCCAATCATTTAAAAACATAAAAGCCATTCTTAGCTTACGGGCCATCCAAAAACAGGTGGTAAGACTTGATATGCTGTGCAGGTTTCAGTTTGCTCACATGGAGTGTCCTGCAGATTACCTTTACCTATGAGTGAATACTTAAGTAATTTCCTTGTTTTTGACATTAAAGCATAGCATTTTAGTGATCATTCTAATGAGTAATTTGATTATTGCTTTAGGATAGATTCATAGAGAAGGGATTACTTACAGAGGTTAAACATTCGGTAAGGTTTTTTAAAAATATTGTTTAATTTCAAAGGTTATATAATATTTCCACTAATAGTGTGTGTGTATAAACATTTCTCCATGCATTACAGTTTTCCTCTCTCTTCCACCATTGGTAGATAGAAATTGTGATCTCATTTTTGAATTTTTCATTTCATTAATTCAAGTGAGTTTCAGCATTTTTTTACCACACTGTTTTGGCCACTTGCATAACCTGTAATATGTCCTTTTTCTCTTATTCTGTTGGAGTATTCATTTTTTCATACTGATTTGTAGCATCCCTTACATATTAAAGTTATTAACTCATTGTCATATGTTTTTTTTCCTAGTTTGTCATTTATCTTTTAATATGAGTTTTGATGTATAGGCAGATTTTACATTTTTTGTAGTCCTAGCTATTAATTTCTGCCTACCCTCTTTTTAAAAAGAACTTTGTGTGTTTTTAAAATTATATTCATAAAGTTATATAATCATTACCATGTTCTAATTCTAGAATGCTTCTCTTTTTGTGAGTTTTGTGTTTTCAACTTTTGTATAATTGTTTTTTTCTCTTGGAACAGAATTTTCTGTGGAGGATTCTTGAGAATTAAGGACCTTGTGACCTACTTTAGATTTCAGAGAATTAAACAGATGCTTGAGATTGCTAAAAATAACATGGATGTTTGAATATTTTCTTAATATTTCACATTTAATTATATAATTCCTTTCCATGTAAAACCTAATAAAAATACGGATAATTTTTCTTTTGGCTAAGTAAAATATAGAAAAACTTGGAAAAATAGCTCAGCCCTTAATGTCAGTTTTGAACTTGTGGAATGAATATAAAGAAATCTCAATGTTGGCAAAGTATGTTGACTCAGTTTATTTTTGATATCTTGAGAAACAAACTGAGCATTCCCTACTTTACATTGTTATTAATGATCTTGTAGGTTGTGAAGTGTTTGTGATTGCTTTAAGAGCTTTATGTATTTCCGCTTCTTATCTTTTTGTGTCTTATTTGCTTAAGGTTTACCAGTGAATTTATTTCAAGGAACATATTGATATTTTCTATTGTTCCTAGAAAGATAGTGAAGTTATTGAAAATTTGATTATTTGAATAAAATAAACAAAATTTGATCATCTAGATAAAACATAAACAACTAAAAGTTTGTGCATTGTTAAAATTTTAAACCACTGGAAAAAATTTTAAATATATATTTTTTTCTGATAGTATTTGCAAATATTTAATAAATACTCTTAAGAAAAATGACTTAGTTTTAAGTAGGCTTTACATTTTGAGTTCTTGTACAATAAATTTTAAATTCCCAAATACTTACCTAAGGAATTGATTTTAAAATAGCATTTTTTTTCCCTTTTAGATGTTATCCTTTATGTATGCCCATTTGGCCTTCTTTCATCAAGGATATGATCTATTTAGTGAACTTGGGCCCTACATGAAAGATCTTGGAGCACAGGTAATGTTGAACTGTATTTTTTGATTCTGTATTATATATGATTTTTTTTTTTGGGGGGGGCGGGTGCTGGGGATTGAACTCTTGGCCTTATGCATGCTAGGTAAGCAGTCCTACCACTGAGCCACATCCCCAGCCCTTGATATTTGTATTTGAAAGCATATTGGGTGATTTGATGTTTCATTTACTTAATAAAGAAGTTTGATTCTATAGCAGAATCTATATGCATGGGTTAAATGTGTAACAAAGGAAGAAATTAAAGGTAAAAATAATCTTATGCTATAGATTTTATCTGAGGGTACTAAAAAGGAGAATGTAATAATAATGTGTCTATTTTTAAGGACACATAGCTGGATTTATTTTTAAATTTCTTATATTTGAATAATTGAGTTTTATTGTTCTAACTTGCTTTCATTTTTCTAAAAGTTATATTTTGGTATTTGAATAGTGACATTTTAGAACCTTAGAATTATGCAGCTGAAAAATTTTCATTGCACACAGACATATTTGGGTATCTGTGTGTTTTAGAATTAAGTGTGTGCATAAGAATATTATATGTATAGAAATTATTTTTTACTTTTGATCAGAATTTTATGTTAAATATGTTTGAAGTCCCCCCCCCCCTCCCTTTTTGTTGTTGATACTGGGGATGAGCCCCAAGGCCTACAGTGAGCTAGGCAAGTGCTCTAGTACTGCACCACACCTCCAATCCCTAGGGACATTGTTATTTATTGATTGATGAGTTTTCTTGAACTTTTTAGGTGGTATTCTTTCCCAAGATGGTTCAGTATACTTTTTGAAGGGAGGTGATTAAGGATGAAAAACAGAGTCTAGGGAAATTGGAGAAACAGAGTGAAATGAGAATTGCAATCACTAACCGACGTATGTGTGTGGGATGCATGTGGAGATGGTGTGGGGGCAGTATGGCAAGTATGGCTTGTGCTGTGAATCACACATCATCTATATTAACTTTCGAAAGAAAGAACAAGTCACCAGACTGTTAACTATGTGCCCTGTGTATATCAGTTGGGATAAGGTTTGTTTGTAAGGGATAGAAAATTGAGAATACTGTAGCTAACACAGAATTTCAATTCTTGTAAAAGAAGTCAAAGTCTTCTAAAAGTCAAATGCATGGTATGATGGCCAGTCACTTGATTCTCAGGATGCAGATGTACATAGTTTGCTTCTATCTCATGATTCAAAGTGACTGATCAAGCTCTAGCCATCATACTCAAAAGACCAGTTAACATCAGAGGAAAAGGGAAAGAAAGACACATTCTGCCTCCTTAAGGACATTTCCTTGTACTTGTTACTTTATATACCTCCCAATGGCCAGTGCTTAGTCATAAGTTCACATTCACTACAAGGAAACCTGGGAAATACAGCCTTAATACCAGAATGCTATAATTTGGGGGTTCTATTGTTAAGGAAGAAGAAGAAAGTAGATATTAGAAATAGCTGGTCTTTTTTTACCATATAGTGGGGAGGTAGGGTGTTGTAGGAAGATATAGACAGTACAGGCTTAGGGGAAGGTAAGGCCTTCCTAGGTTCTAGGCGTTCCTTACAATTTAGCATACACTGGACTGTAACCTTACCGTACATTAAATATAATTTATAAAGACTATGAATTAAATTGGAGTTGACAAATAGAAATCATTATATATTTTAGACTTTTATTAATTTCAGTTTTACTTAATTTCCTCCTTGTTACCCTCACAGACATCAAACAAATTTGTAGGCACTTGAAAAGCATCTGATAAGTCACACTTCTATAGTGTGTGGGGGATAATATGGCCTGTTTGGAGGGGGCAGGTTAGGATGTTCTTTCAATAATTCAGTGGTAGATAATACCATCTAAAACTCAGGGATTACTAATTATTTATTAGTATCATCATCATCATCATTGCTTTTATTTAGTTAATTGTTCTATACCTTTTAGATTTGCTTATACTAGTAGGAAGCCAACTTGAAATCATGAAGCATCTTGAATGATGAGGCATATCCGTTATTATGAACTTGTGGAAGCTGACTGCACTAATTTAGCTGCACTACTTTTTGCTGTTTGGGGAAAAATTACCATTGTTTCTTTTTTATAACTTTGATTATAACTTGCAGAATTTACTTGAGAGGATACACAAGCAACTTAAACCAGAGTAATTTTTCTTATTCAAGGACTTGACACATCACTGCAGGGGCCAGGAGGTGGCCTCCTATCATGTGTGCTTGGCACCCTGACTGTACTTAAAATTCTTTTCCTTGCTGAGACATGGATCTTCTCGAAAAGGATTTAATACCATAAAAATAGGAACTTCTACTTTAAAGTTTAGCTAAAATACCATTTTAGGTAAACTTAAATCGAGTGACATATTGCTGTTTATCAACAAAATAACTTGGAATATGGTTTGGAAAAATGCTTATACCTCTTCTTTTCTTTGATTTTTTTTTAAGCCTACAATTTTTTCTTTTTCTACTTTTACAGTTAGATCGACTTGTTGTGGATGCAGCAAAAGAGAAAAGAGAAATGGAGCAAAAACATTCCACCATTCAACAAAAGGTACTTGAGAGGAAAAGTTTAAGAAGATTAATTTCCATTTTAGTTGGTTGTTTAATTAGTATTGACATAAGCAAGGTACCTTAGTGTTGGAACAAATTCTTTGCATTCTTACATAATTCCTTAAATTTTCTTTTCACAAAAAGTGAAATAGTTTTCGGATATTAAGGTATATGTTTTATTATCATTTCAGAACAAAATATTTTAAAGTCAGGCTCTTAAACCAGTTTATTAAGAACCTAATCTCTCAGGGCTTTAACTAAATTAAAAGATGGCCCTTAGCATTTAAAACAGTATTCATTTTTTGGGTACCACCAACCTTCTATGAAGTGTGTGTGTGTGTGTATGTGTGTGAGAGAGAGAGAGAGGGGTTGGGTGGGGTGGGGTGGCGTGTGCGTGCTCAGTTTCAATGTTAAGGACTTCCCAGGGCCAGTCACCCTAGGCAGCACTCCCACCTCATGTGGTGCTGAATGATGTTTAACTTGCATAGCTTGTTAAATTTCCTACTAGCTAAACTAGTATTTTTGAAAAATATGTTTTTAAAAATGAAATTTCCAGTATTAAATAGTTTTCATTCCTTCATGCTGAAGGAGTTGAGTGTGACATGCCTGAAACTCACCCGAATAATATTTTATCTTATATAGTCAATAATGTTTCTTGGGAAGCAATCTGAAAATAAAAGGAGAGAGAAATTGAATGCAATAATACAAGTATATAACAAGATGCTTTCTCCCTTCTTTAAATCTGTTCTTTTGGTATTGATGAGTAAATGAACTTTTGTTATGGTTTATTTAGAATTTTGAATACTGTAGACTTTATTTGACATAAAAGATGTTAATGGGAAAAAATAAAAACAAAATCAGTAATAAAAATAAGGAAAATTTGATGGATTATTTATGCTAAAGAGAAATCATATTTTAAAAATAAAGAATTTTTTTTCTACCAGACTATCTTTAAATTAGTTACTTCCAAGTTATTGTCAGATGAGACTTTATATTTTCTTTAAAGTTAGATTAACTTTTGGTTGAGTAACTTTAAATTTGGTGAATAAAAATTCTGTATATTTAGTAGGTACAATATCATATTTGGATGAACAACTTATTTTAATGACATTCCCATTAAAAGATTGTTAAATACGGAGACCAGTCATTTTTATTTAAAATAAAGATCATGGTGTTTGTAGAAATATGAGAATATTTGCTTAAGTTAAATTATTTAATGGATAGTTTATATCTTTTAATGTCTTTCCCAATTGAGTACATAATTCAGTGTTGTACTGAAGGACCCAAACTGGTTAAGTTTTAAATCTGAGATTAATTTAATTTAAAACATATACAACTGTTTTCCTTTAAAGAAAATAGTGGTATTTTTGCTAATTATAAATACTTACTTTTTTTCTGCCCTTAAATGCTGACGCAAGGCTGCATTACAGGTAAAAACAAAACAAAACACACACACACACACACACAAAATAAAAGAATCTAGTCAACTAAAATTTAAGGGACAGTATATCTAATGTAATTATTTAGAATTTTTAAAGAATTGCTTTGATGAGTTGAAGAAAAAATGATGGCAAGGACATTCATATTCGCATCTTAGAGTATATGTAACATTTATGATGGATTTATACCTAGAAGTGAAACTGTATCAAAGAGAATATGTATGTTCACCATTAGTAGATAATGCTGAACTGTTTTTCAATGTTGCACCATTCTTGGCAGGCAGTACTGAGAGTGTACTGTGCTCCTTGCCATCTCATTGTATTGAGAGGGTTTTAATTTTTTACCCATTTAGTGGGTAGATAAGGGCATCTCATTGTGGTTTTAATTTATACATCTTTAGTGACTAGTGAGTTCAATTCCCTTACCCTGTATCTGTTGGTCACTTGGGAGCCTATTTGTGAAATATCTATTAGTCTTTCTCTTTTTTTCTGCCAGGTGGCTTGTTCTTCAAATCCTTTGTATGTTCTGGATATATGCCCCTTTGAGGCATGTATATGTTTTGAATTTTCATATAGCTTTTCAGTCTTACGTTTGGTGTTTTTTGTGTCTTATTCAATAAATCCTTCCCATCCTAAGATCATAAAGTTCTCTCCTGCATAGATTTATTTTTCATGCTTAGATTTCTAATCCATGTGTAATTGGGTTTTTGTATATGATGGTAGGTACTTTTACTCTTCCATTGGTAGCTAGTTGATACAGATTAGTTATTAAAAAGTTTCCTTCCACACTGTTTTGTCATATAGCCTGTGTTATACCTCATGTTCCATATATCTGAAGCTGTTTTTCAGGGTCTCTATTCTGTTAGTCTTTTTGTCTTAATTATGCCAATACTATGCTGTCTTAGACATTAGCTTTATAGTAAGTCTTGATATGTAACTTTCTGACTTCTTTTTTAAAAATGAATCACACTAGTTTTGCATTTCCATGTAAATTTCAGGAGCCCCTCTTCAGGTTCCATAAAAACAGCCTTTGTCATTTTGATTGAGATTACATTAGAACTACAAATCAATTTGAGAGAAAAATGATGTCTTTGTTTTATAATATTGTTTAATTCATGACTGTGTTGTGTTCTCTATTTCCTTTTTCTTTTCTTTCTTTCATAAGGTTTTATGATTTTCTTATATAATTTGTTAGATTTATTCCTAAACTTAGATTGCATATTTTTTTGTGAATTTTTTTTTTTGGGGTGGGTAATAGGGAATGAACCCAGGGGTGATCTACCACTGAGCCAAATCAGAGTCCTTTTTATTTTTTTATTTCAAAACAGGGTCTCACTAAGTTGCTCATGCTGGCCTTAGTCTTGCAATCCTCTTCCTGCAGGCTCCTGAGTGGCTGAGATGACAAGCATGTGCCATCATACCTGACTTTGGGTTGTTTCTTTATGATGTATTTCCTATTCGTTCACAAATTTACTATTTGTATTCATGTATTATGAGGAAATGAAAGATCAGAACAAGATTATCACATTTGTCCTTACAACATTATGGCTAGGTAAATAATAAATTCAATATTACAATCCTGGACACTTTTCCACATTATTTTATTTCTTTTCCTCAGAGAAGTCATTAAGAAATGTCAGGTTGTGTTGCTTTGATCACTAACAGTTCTGAAACTCTTTTTTTTTTTTTTTTTTGTTATTGTCTAAAAATTTATTTTCTCACTGTTTCCTTCTGTTATTATATTAGGTTAAACTTTATTTTTCTGTAGTGATTTTGCAAACTAGTAATCTTGCTTTATTCCCTTTTAATAGTAATATATATCCCTGGATTATTTTGAATGTTATGTGTACAAAATCTTATCCACAAGTTATGATACTTTGTTTCAAGTCTTGTGTGTGTGTGTGTGTGTGTGTGTTGTTGTTGTTGTTATTGTTGTTGTCATCTTTTGGCTAGAATCTTTATCATAATCTCAAAGGTAAATGGTATTAATGGTCTGTCTTGTCTTGCTTGCAATTTCAATAGAAAAGCATCTTTTAGCTTCCCTTCTATTCCTGGAACTCCACATGAAAGAGCCAGTCCTCCTGATAGCAAATGCCCTCAAGGTGAAAGTGGAATTCCTTGCTGTTTGCCTGTTTGGCTTCCAGTTTTCATTTACTTAATCTTTTGCCTTTGGATATTCCTTCCTACTTGTCAGATCACTAATAGATTCAGAGATATTCTAACAGTGTATGTTTCACCCAACATTATTAATTGCTTACATTATGAATTCTTTTACATTTTAAATACTGTAATCTATTACATTTTAGGTACTTTAAATATTAATAGATATTAGTAGTAATTAAGACAATTTGTCTCAAGAAATAGAGAAATAGAGAAGCACTTACTTGTAATGCATCGCACATCCAAGGAAGACTTTTATTTTATTTTATTTATATTTTTGCATCGCTGGAGATTGAACCCAGGGCTTTGTGCCTAGAAGGTTTTGTGCCTCCAGCTCCATTATTTTATGTTTTAAGTAGCATCAAGGTTGTTAAAAAAAAGAATTGCAGATGTTACATGTAAAACCTTTAGAATGTTACAAAAGTCAATTATTTCTATTACTATCTTAAATCTGATCTGCATAATTAAATAGATTATGGCCTAATATTGGGGATGTGGCTCAGTGGTAGAGTGCTTGCTTAGCATGTGCAAAGCTCTGGGTTCAATCCCCAGCATTGTGAAGTAAAAATAAAAGTAAAAAGTAAATTATAGCATAAAATAAATTTTAAATGAAGAAATTGAAGTTTCTCTAATTTGTTTTTCAAGGAAAAAGGAAAAAATGTAATGACATAGATTCTGCTTCATTTTATTATTTTATATTATGTCTTTTTATGGTTTGAAAGATATCAGATTTATTTAATTTTTAAAAATCTGAACTCGATCTATTCCTTTTCACATCTTAGTAGACAGATTTAGAAGGCTCTTGGGTGATTCTCACTCTGCCTCCCCTCCAATGCAGGTCCTTCACATCTCAGCTCTCAGCAGGTGGTCATCCAGCCTCTGCCAAAATGTTTCTCAAGACAGGTAGCATTCTAATTTTAATCATTGGTGCAGGAGTGACTTTGAAAGTTCTGAGACTGATTTTTAGAGTTTTAAATTTGATGTGAGAGGAGCAATCTTGCAGTTTTATCGAAAATACTTTGGAATTTACTAGGAAATATTTTAAATAATTGGATTTCTGATTTCCAAACTGTGTGAATCTTTGGAGGAGAACTGAAAGTTTGAATTGCATTCAAATATAGACTTGAGTTATTAGAATGATTGGACAAGACTATGAGTGATTCCATAGTCTTCAAAAAAAAAAAAAAAAAAAGTGAGTTTAATATCCCCACTTCACACTGTGGTCTTAAGGTCTTTCTTCTTTGCAAAATCAAATATTATTTTAGGAAAAAAATTTCATAATTCTTTTATTTCTGAACTTCCTAAATAGTAGAGTTATTACTCCTATTAGATTAAAAAAACTGCCATGGTAGCAATATATTTAGAAAATAGTGGTAGATTTAAATAATCACATTTAAATATATCCATAGTTCTTTTAAAAATTAACACATATCACTATAAAATACTGGGATAAAATGAAAGCAGTTTTAAACATAACATCCAGTGTAATATTTAGTTGTTGGCTTTGTCTGTTTGTATGCTTATTATTTTTACTTTCAATACAATTTATATTGTTTTCACTTTTACTGTATATTCTATATAATCATCTGTTTTTACACCATCATTACACATCAGTCAATTGAATTGAAATATTTTAATATGTTGAAGCATTCCTCAATTATTAAGCATTTAGTTTCCCCTACCCATTTCTTATCAATATTGTCATAACAGTTTTTAATAGAAACTAGTTTTCCCCCCTTTTGAACTTTTTCCCTAGGATACATTTATTTTTCTGTATAACATAAATCACATGAACTTTTATGTGTTATTTCGTCTAGGATTTCTCCAGTGATGATTCCAAGTTAGAATACAACGTAGATGCTGCAAATGGCATTGTTATGGAAGGATACCTGTTCAAACGAGCCAGCAACGCCTTCAAAACTTGGAACAGGTAATATACTTGAAATGCTTGTCTTGCTCCTTCCATATTTGCAGTTTTCTGACTTTCTTTGTGATCTGGCAACTCTTTCTTTATAATTCTAAGTCTGTAAATTCCATAGTTCATAGTTTCAGTGTTCATTGAAAAAAGAAGGCTCGCAGAAGCAGGTGAAAAATGAAAAGGTTAATTCTTAATTCTAAAATTCAAGCAAGTCTTAAAGGAGGAAGCAAGGAGAGTATTTATAATGCTTAGTCTATAGTGACTAGATCATCACAATAAATTTTGAATGTGCGCTACCTCCAATATTTGTTAACAAAATAGATTGCAGTACAAATTATGTATTGAATATAATTGATGAATAGAACAGGTGAGAGCTTTTTTTCTTTTGGTTCCTCCTCTCTCTGATGTTTGTATAAATTTTTACTTAGTGTTGCCCGAGGAATTTTATTTATTTGATTATTATTATTTTTTGTACTGGGCATTGTACCCATTGAACCCAGAATGAATGTATAAGAAACTACTTTTTTTCTATATATATAAAACAAAGCAAAATAATTTTAGACCTTAAAGCAGCAAAAGATTGCTTGACTTAGAATCATTCTTCTGAATATCAGTGATCTTTTACTCAAGGATATCCACCTTACTCCCAACAAAATGTAGTCAGAAAATTTTGCAATAATTTTGACTAGTGTTCAGATTCTGGATAATTGATTTACTATTATATTCTTGGTTGAAATGTACATATTTTATTACTCAAACAAGGTATGAATTCATGTAGTGATAGAGAAGGTTGGTTTTGTTTTGTTTTTTTTTTTTTAAATGGGCATTAACAAAATAAATAGACTTTCCTTGCTAAGTATAATTTAGTATACAGTTTTGCTAATTTAAATAGAAACGTGTAATGTTTTATTGTCCTAGTGCACTTATTTTTATTTCTTAGGGTTGAGGTTATATAAAAAAATTCATCAGTTCTTTTCAGATGTCAGTGATTTATTGAGCATTTGATATTTCCCAATTCTTAAGTGTTACTTGGTTTTATTTGGAATAATTTTCTTTATATAAGATTAAATATAAAGTGGAAAGTAATTATTATATTCAATAGTAAACCTCTTTAAAATAATACATGAATATAGGAGGTCTAACTAAAGTTATTTGGTTAGAAATGTTTCTAATTTTTATAAAGTAAAAATGAAGACTTAAATTATGTTTTCCAAGCTCTAAAAATTAATAATATTTTGAATTTTTAATGGAAAATTTCTTTAGCTAGACTAGGAAATTTAAAAAAATAATGTGATTGGTGAATCTTTAAGTAATAAAGATTATTCCACCAACATGATTTTAATATATAATGTTAGAATTGATTTTAACTTTCAGACTTCAAAACAACCTCCTTAAAGTTTGACAGAATGAAATTACAGTAAATACATAGAAATATAGTATCATGTTAAGAAAAGAAATGAACTTCTATGGAATATTTCAATGAGAAATGGTCTCAGACTGCAAGTACATTAAGTGTTAGGGGAAAATTGCATTGCCATTTAGGGCAGTAGAAGAAAATTAATTTTGGTTTAAGTGTGGACTTTTTCATTTTTTTTAATGAATTTTATTAATTGACATGGATATTAAAATACAAATAAAATTGAATAGTAACTGTTAAATCCTCAATTGTAGACATGTTGCCTACAATTTGCAAAGTGGAAAAAGACATTGCCTTTGGAAATTAGGCTGCTTTTTAGAAGAGGTACCATTTATATGTAGTGATAGTTATTGATTAAAATTATAGATTATAATTTAACATCCAAATTTTCAATAAAGAAATGGACCTTTAAAGAAATGGTTGAGAAAGATTTATTTAGCTCACAGTTTTGGAGGCTCATGTTGTAAAGTTGGGTGGCCTCTGGTGAGGAGCTCATGATGGATGGTATCACAGTGGCAGGAGTGTGCCCAGATCCTATGATGAGATGAAGCCAGAGAGTAGGAATGATCCAGTCTTCTCTTTTATAACAGCCCACTTTCCTGGGAATTGACTTAGTCCAAGAGACCAGCATCAATTCTTTCCCAGTGACCTCATTACCTAACACTGGGTCCAAACTTTTTTTCATTTTTTGGTACTGGAGATTGAACCCAGGTTTGTTTTACAACACTGAGCTACATCTCTAGTCCTTTTTTATTTTTTAATTTGAGATAGGGTCTTGCTAAGCTGCAAATGCTGGCCTGGAAATTTGTGATCTTCCTTCCTCAGCCTTCTGAGTCTTTGGGATTACAGGCATGTGCCACCTCGCCTCAATACTGCCATACTGGGGACCAGGTTTCTAGCACATAAACCTCTGGGGGGACAAATCATATCTAAATCATAACAATAAGGAATTCTATGAAAGAAAGAAGAGAGAAGAACAATCTATTAAATGTTATTTAGAATTTCCTTCTGCTTTTTAATATTACAAATTTAGAATGTATCTAAATTTCTTCAATGAGATTTACCAAAAAGTCCAGTCTCAGGAAATACTTACAAATAATTTTTCCTTTTTCATGTTTGGCTTAGAGTCTGCCGTCCTTCTCTAATTAGTTCTCCATTCAGCTTGATTTATTATATTCTGTTGGCCTCTGAGTAAGACTATGTACTTGTGATATTTATGCCTTAATTTTAAAAATGTCTAAGAATCTAACTATTCAGATATAAAGCCTTTTCTACTCACTGCTTCAGTTTTTTTTTTTTTTTTTTCTGTTAAGGATTGTTTAATTAGTTTCAGGAATTTTTTTTTTTTAGTTTCTGTAAGGTACCAAACATATAATAATTTTATGGAATTATGGTATGTAGATATTCCTGAAGAGTTTTAAAACCTTATCTATCCTTCATAAATTACATCTTTTTTGAAAGAAATATTCTATTATATGAAATTTAACATTGATTTATTTTGTTTGATGTGACTCAAATTGCATAGGAATTAAAAATTTTAGATCATATATGGATTGCTGAAATGATTGGTTTTTAGATTTCTAATTTCTGATGTCTCCAAATTATACACCTCCATAATAAAGTTGGCCCTACATATCTGTGCATTCACATCCATGAATTCAACCAACTGTGGATCAAAACTATTTGGAGCTGAGTGTGGGGGTCCATGCCTGTAATCCCAGGATCTTGGGAGGCTGCCACAGGAGGATCACAAGTTCAAAGCCAGTCTCAGCAATTTAGCGAGGCCCTGTCTCTAAATAAACTATAAAAAAGGTCTAGGGCTGTTGCTTGATAACTGAGCACTCTTGTGTTAAATCCCCAGTACCAAAATACACACACACACACACACACACACTCACAAGTATGTGAGTATTTGGGAAAAAAATTAAGTTTACACTGTACATATACAAACTTTTTTTTCTTGTCATTATTTCTTAAACAATACAGTCTAACAACTATTTATATCGCGTTTACATTATATTATATATTTTAAGCTATATAGAGGTGGCTGGGAGAGCCAGGCAAAGTGGCATGGATGTCATCCCAGCTACTCAAGAGGCTGAGGTGGAGGATTGCTTAGCCTAGGAGTTTGAAACCAGCCTGGTCAATATAGTGAGATTCTGTCTCTTAAAAGGAAAATTAGGGCTGGGGATGTGGCTCAAGCAGTAATGCGCTCTCCTGGCATGCGTGGGATGCTGGGTTCAATCCTCAGCACCACATAAAAATAAAGATGTTGTGTCCACCGAAAACTAAAAAATAAATAAAAAGAAAATTAAATGTGTGTGTGTGTGTGTGTGTGTGTGTGTGTGTGTGTTTATATATGTACTTAGGGAGATGTGTAGGTTATGTATAGAACCCAAGCATCACAGAATTTGATATCTGAGAGAATCCTGGAATTAATCCCCCACAGATACCAAGGGACAACTGTATATATTTTCTGAACACTTGTGAAGTCGGCTACAATTATTTTTCCTCATCAAGTTACTTTTTTCAATATGGCAGATTCACTTCAGGCTTAGCCTAGTGGACTGCTAGAGCTTATGTTTTTCTTGTGCTCTTCATAATAAATAGGAAAGATGAGAATATGGAAAATAAGTAAATGTCAGCATAATTTATTTAGTAATAACTTGTGAAGATTAATAAAGAAGCTGAAGTCTTTTGAACTAGAAAATACACCTAAGAACATAAAAGTTTTTAAAAGCAAAGTGTTCTATGCACTGCTGGTATAGATATGTTTTGTTTTTATTGCCTTTTTGTTTTAAAATAAATATAAATATACATCAATTAAAGAGGAATCATACTTAATATGTGGCCTTAGAGAATCTCTGCTGTCATTTGATGAAAATGAGTCTGGGCAGGTGGGAGGCTTTTTTGAGTAATCTCTGTGATCTTTGAAATTCTTCATTAGTGACTCCACTTTTCTTATGAAAAGTTTCAGTTTGTCCTAGGTTTATTTAGAAGTATCTCCAGTGATCATTTCCCTTAATTTTTAGGAGCATCTTAATAAGATGTGGCAATACTATCTGTATTTTATAGTCATGATCATAGAGTCAGAAAATAACAATAAAGAAGTATACTAAGTCCTACCAGAACTTTTTGTAAGGTAATACTTTGAAGCAAGTTTTTGAATATTTCTAAAATATTAGCATTTCAGATTCCTAAGAGTTGGAATTAATTCTACAAATGCTTGTGTTCATAATAAAATGCAGTAGATACTTTTGACTGTTTTGTTAGGTTATAAGCTTAAGCTTGTTCCTTTAATTCTTGCTTTATTTTCGTATCATGCTAGTCCTTTGCTTATTTTGCACATTTGCGTTTTCATTCTTTTACCACCTTTCCCTTATGTTTTAATCCTGCCCCATTTTTTCACATGACAGGAAAAAGCCCGATCATATCAGGTACCAAATGGCTTCCTTCCCTTTACCCTCATCTTACTCCAGTTTCTTCTTTGGCACGAGAAAGCTCATCATTAACCTGCATTTCAGTAGGATTACTTGCAATGGATAAAAAGTCTCTCTATATTTTAAATTGGGAAGAAAATATAAGCATTTTATTTGAGAAATGGAATTATACCTTTTAATTGCCCATATCCTCAATTTGTTTTAATCTGTAAAAGAACATTTGATGTGTTTATAATTACCCAAAGTTGCAGATTGAGTAATATGAATACATTTAGGTCATATGTATATACACACAATCATGTATATGTAAATATGAAATAAACCAGCAAACTCTTCAAAAACCTGTGTAGTAATTAGAATTAATCCCTTTGGTAACAACCGTATTATGTTGAAAGAATACATTGTCAGTCCCTAGGTTTTCTTTGTTTTCCACATTTTTCTCTCTGTGAAAAAACAAATTGAATTTAAAATAAAGGTGCATATGTATTTAAGCTTTTATTTTATTGTTTACTTGTTTGCCACCTATATGAATATGCACATGAACCCATCATTTGTATAGTTTTTAGTAATAAAGCTTCTACAGATTCAGAAGTTTAACTTTTATCCATGTTTTTATTTCAAGTGTGGTTCTGCATCAAACATGGTAAAAGATATATTTATATATGTGTATATAAATATATATGTATATATATTTATTGCCCATATTTTGTCATCTGGAAGCTTTCATTGATATGTAAAATTTAATATTTAAATTTTAATAAATTTTAGTATTTTGATCTATTTATACTCAATTTGAGACAGATATAAATGGTATCTTATTGTTTTATTTTAATGAACAATTTTTTGTTTTACACACTGTCTTATATTTTGTTTGGCTTTGTGCTCAGTTTTTTAACTTTGTAGAATACTGTGTAATATTGTTAGCACAAAGCTTTCCAAAGTTTCTCTCTTCTGGATTTAATTATTTTTAGAAATACTTTCAAGTTTCTTAAATTATTAAGTATTTTTTTATATTCCATAGATCATGAACTGTTTGTCTCATATTTATTTTTCTGAGAAATATTAAAAGCAACTAGGATTATTCTGTCAGAATAATAAAAAAAAATTTACTTATCTGATTAAAAGTTTGGTCAATTTTAGATGAGTATATAGTTAGCTCTTTTTATTTGTATTGGCATTTAGGTGAGATAGTGTCACAGGTGTTCAGATCTTTTTAATTAATTTTTTTTTCAACCTAGGATATACTACATGCCTTTTTATCCTTAGGAGCTGTCAAATTCAGATGAATTTATTTTGTCTTTACTGAGTGTATAAAACCTGATGATGTGAGACTGACATCTAGAAGCAGATGAATGGTAGGGAAACAGGAATTCAAAAGTATATAGGGTCCATAGAATTAATAATTGGGAATGGCCTCTGACAAAAAATACAAGTTTTTATGTAGTATCTTGTTATCCTAAGATGCAGTAGGTGAAAAGACATTTATTTTTTGAAGACCTCAGAAGCATGAAAAGTTTACATGGTTTATATGAGTGTTTTTCCATTGGTTAATGAAACAATGTAGTTTTTATCAAATTATATAATAGAATCATTATGATACAAAACAAGATTTTTTAAAAAATATAGCTTATCCACCTCTTTCAAATGATTTTTGCAGAGAGCTCTTCCATCAGTGTTAGAGATGGTTTCCATTGCATGTCATCCCGTGTGGCAGGGCTGCACCATTCTGTGTGTGTAGGTGTTTCTTTTAACATTTCTAACCAGCTATCTGTCCCCAAACCAAGGCACCCAGAAGTTCTTCCTTTTCTAGACTGCCTCTTGATGATTTGGATCTAGAGGCAACCCACATTGTTTTGTCTAGATGCTTATTTAACAAATCTCTCTATTTTAATAATTAAAAGGTTATACCTTTTTAAATGGTGAGAAAACCTAATGATCTATCTAGTAAAAGTCCTAAAAATGAAAAAGCATCTCCTAATAATTTTCTCAGCTTTGGAGAAGTAACTAAATTTTTAAAAACAGAAATTCTAGATATCTAAAGATAATTTTCTAGTGCTTTGTATTAGTACCAACGAAAAGGTAGAATCTCTATCTGCTAATAGATTAATAACTAATGTTATGATAAAAATCATCTCACATGAAACTAACTTTAAAATAATGACTCAAGTTTTATTAGTGTTTTACCTTTCATGCTTAATGAGAAGTTTTGCTTCCTTTTGTGAATGGCTTTTGGCTGTGATTTTTTTTTTTTAATAAGTCTTTAGGTCTTTTTGTTGTTTTAATAAATTAGAATTAGTAAGTATGGCATACAAAGCTTAGCTTTTTCTTCTAAAGAAAATTGCAATTAAGTTGCTTTCCTGATAATTTACAATAATAAGCAGAACCATATAAATAGCTGGGTGAATTGTTTGTAGTAATAACTTTGATTGTTTTGCTTTGAAGTATTTTATATGAAAGTAAGACCATGTTAATTGGTGATTATCTCCTGTTTGATACTGGTTGAAAAGGATTAGTTTTCTGTTTTTGCTTATCAAATTAACACTTGCTGAATTATCTCCTGAAAGGTTGACAATAAAGCAGCATTTATTGTAATGTTTTAATGTATATAAGTGGATATTTATATTTGTATTATAAGTTCATTTTAACATTATAAAGAATATAATTATTTGGGGGGAAGATTCAGTTATTTTTGGAGAACCTCAAAAAACTGTTAATTTATACTTTAAAACATTTATTATTTGGTGATATTATAAACAATAACAGCTTTTGTTAAAATATAAATTTATGACATAAAATAAATCAAAATATAGCAATTTTACTTTCCTAATCTGTGGTTTTAAGATGCTTGTTTTATATCTTCAGTAGTTATTACATTTTGCTATTGGTTTATATTAAGCAAAACAGTGCATTTCTCAAAATGTAATTATTATAAACTGATTTCCAGTGCTTTCCCAATATTTCATTTCTACCAAAACCAGAAGTAAATCCTGTTTATGAAAACTTAATCTATTTTGTCTTTATTTAGACGCTGGTTTTCAATACAGAATAATCAACTGGTTTACCAGAAAAAGTTTAAGGTGGGTGGTAGTCCTCAATTTTTTAAAATTCTTTATCAGTTTGTTTTGGTGAGCACTGAAATCCATAAATACCTATGTATAAAATTATTGTGTATTAGTTTTATGTTTGGGCATGTATAAGAAGACTCTGGTGTGGAAACTATAACATTTGATCCTTAAAAGCAGAGTGACTTTGAATTTTGAATTCTTAATTTCTAGTTTTGAGATGGATTTTTCTGTGCCCTACCTAGGATTGTTACTTTCATTTCCTTATGTCTTTGTCTAGTTGTATGATGGAAATACCACCACCATTGCATGGCACTGTTTTGAGACTGAAGGAGAATGTGTCTTTTTTTTTTTTTGGTACTGGGGATTGAACCTAGGGATGCTTAATCACTGAGCTACATCCCACTTTTTTATTTTTTATTTTAAATTAGGGTCTCACTAAGTAGCTGAGGTCCTTGATAAATTGTTGAGACTGGAATTGAATTTGTGATCTTCCTGCCTCAGCCTCTTGAGCCACTGGGATTACTGGTGTGCGCTGCTGTGCCTGGCGAGAATGTGTCTTTTAAGAAATATCATCTTAGGGCCAATGGTGATAATCTTGAAAGGTTAAAAATAACATTAATTAAAATGCAAGCTCCAAGTAATTTAAATAGAAACCCTTCAATCTATTAACACTGTATTTGTATGTTTGTTTTTCTGAACCTTGTTTTAAGGGTGAAGTATTTTTACTTTTAGAAAGGCATTCTGAGATTACTTAAGATTTGAGAATATTAACAATTATTGAAACTATTTGTTAATTAATGACTTGATTTTCATCTAGTTAGTTTTTATGAATGTTATTCTGTAAACTGTAAATTTCAAATATATACTGTAGTCTTGAGATGACACGTGAAATTTTACTTGCTATGTTCTATAGTAACAGGTTAGTATTTTATAAATTCTTTAGCTAGTTCATGGTTTCTTCTACTCTGATAAACTTGATTTTGTGTTATTTATTAAACACTAGGAAGTGATAAAATATTTCTCATTTTCTTAGATAGTTTAAGAAGGATTTATAAATGTCTTACCTTTGAGCTGTCTAAAACATGAGTCGTTAAAGGCTTCTCTTTTTTTGGGAAAGAAGCTTTAAAAAAAGCTATAAAAGTAATATATGAGTGGAGACTAAGAGAATAATGGATATGAATAAAAATGGAAGAACATTTATTAAGTATCTACTAAGTGTCAAGCATTGGACCAATCTCTTTATATATACTGCTTCACTTAATCTATGATAATTTGGGGAGGCAGATAAAATAATTAATAGGACAGAATTACTTCCATTATTTTTATCTGTGTCAATAACCTCATCTGTATCAACAGTTAAGATAAATATAAATCTTTACAATTAGATCATTTACTCTAATTAATATTTTAATTGTTGGTGGTAGTATTATTTAAAAACTAAGTGGATAAATGTGTAAGTTTTGTTTCCTTATTGTAGGATAACCCCACGGTAGTAGTTGAAGATCTCAGGCTTTGCACAGTAAAGCATTGTGAAGACATAGAAAGACGGTTCTGCTTTGAGGTAGTCTCTCCAACAAAGTAAGTTGTTCTGTAGGATTTCAAAATTGCTTTTATTTTCTGTAGTAGGTCTTAAAAAACTTTCCAGAATAGAGAAATTTGTGTTTGATTCATGAGTGTGTTGAATAAAAAAAAAAAAGTTTTAAAAATAAGTGTCAATAATTAATGATTACAGATATTACAAGCAGATACTTATGTAACTCTCCCTTTATTTCATATTCCTTGAAATCTGTAAAGATTATTTATGTGCCCATAATAAAAAATTTTCAGCTGTTATGATAATAAGATACAATCACATATCAACCATCATTTCATACTGTCTCCAATTTAAAAAATGAGTGTTAAGATTATGCTAAATTTAGAAGTTTATTTACTTTGATTTAATGTGCAGTGATGAATGATTTGTTTTCAAGAGATAATTCATTTCATTGGTACTTTGAATTCTTTTAAAGGTACTTAGTCCTAAAGATATATAAAATAAAACCTTTCAACAGAAATTATTTTTTGCTAGATAAATTATTAAATAGCGAAGTGGACAAAAAGTAAAGCTATATGTTTCCTTTGTTTTTCCTTTTCTTTTTTTTGGTTAATTTAGTGTCTGAAAAAACAATATTTTATTTTCTTTAAGGAGTTGTATGCTCCAGGCAGATTCTGAAAAGCTGCGCCAGGCATGGATTAAGGCTGTTCAGACCAGTATTGCAACTGCTTATAGAGAAAAGGGTGATGAATCAGAGGTTAGTAGAAGTGTTATTTTGTCTAAAAGCTTTACATTTTAGTTTCACCTTTATATTAATTATAACATCCTTTTTTATGGAGGATGATTTTATGTAATTTAAGTAATTTTTTAAAAATCTAGATTCAATGTCTTTTATTTCTCTTTTTTCATTATCACTCTTTTATTTATTTGTTTTTGTTTTAATTAGTTACACATGACAGTACAATGACCCTGACATATCATTCATTTCAATCAGATGGAATATAATATCTTATTTTTCTGAGTATACAGGTTGCAGAATCACAGTGGTCATGCATTCACATATATACACACAGTAATAATAATGTCTGTTTCATTCTACTATCCTTTCTATCTCCCCAACCCCTTCCCTCCCCTCCCATCACTTCTCTCTACCTAATTAATCTAGGGTAACACTATTCTTTTTTTTTTTCTCAAATCTTCATTCATGTATTTTGTGTAACAATGAAGGTCTCCTTCCACCATCCATCTTTTATTTCTCTTGATTTTATGTATCATTTTATTTTGATATTTGAATATATCTTTGTTTTAATATTTGAATATATGTTCCAGGTTGGAATAAGGCATTCTAATATCTTGGTTTTTCCCCAAAATATTTTACAATTTTAATTAATAATAAAATATAATAATTATCACGAAAGGTTTTTAAGGTTAAAACTGAGTAAAAGCATAAAAGGAAAATGAATCATTGTCTCTTTGTTGAAGGCTCTCTGGGAAAGATAAACTGAATATACAGTTGTGGGCTATACTCTGGCTTCAGTTTCCCAAAGAATCTGCAAACTCTTTTGGGCAAGGCCACGCACGAGTAAATCTTGAAAAATGAAACTCATTGCCATTGGGTCATCTGGCAGGACACAGGCATAGAGGTGGTGATAGACAACCGTTAGAAATATGGTTAGGGAAAGGGAGGGAGTACTCTCCAAGTTATATTTCAGAGCTCATTATAATCAATTTGTGACTCCCAAGAGTAGATCAAAGCAGATATCTTCCCGAGCAGGAAATGGGGGAATTCACTTGATCTAAACGTTAAGACAGAGTAGGAATTTCAATAGCCTAGTTCACCTGGCCATGGTAGGATACAACTGATGGGAATATAGCAGAGACTTGTTGGTGAAGTTCACCCTCAGTATGAAATTTAGTCTGTCACCTGAATCATACTTCTTTAGTTTGGATGAATGCCCCTTAAGCCTTGCAGCATACCTGTTAGTCTGGGATTTTCTTATACAACCATTTCTGTTGTCTTTTTTTTTTTTTTCTTCCATATTCCATTTCTTTCTCTTTTTTGACTTAAGAAAAACTTCATACTTTCTCAAGTATTTCCTGAAAGTGAGGCACTTGTGACTCTATGCATGCATGATAATGTCTTTATTCTGTCTTCAGGTTTGTTTGATAGTTTGGGTATGGAATTTTTAGGTTGAAAAGAATAGCATTGTATTTTTGTTTGTTTTGTTAAAGGAAAAAAAAAAAAGAGAAAAAATAAAAAAAGTTCCCAGTGTTGCCATTAGAGTTTTTTGTTTTATTTATTTTTTTATGTTTTTATTTTTGTAGAGCTTTTCTTATTACTGATATTTTGCATTTTTCCTCTTCAATTTCTCTGTTTTCTCTCTCTGGAATTTATGGGCTGGTATTGTGATTTTGTTGTAATGTGTGTGTGTGTGTGTGTGTGTGTGTGTGTGTGTTTTCTTTGTTTCATTTTTCTGGGAAATCTCAATTAATCTTATTAACCTGTTGAATATTTCCATGCTCCTAGCATATATTTAATTTCCAAGAGTTCTTATTTGTTCACTGAATGTTTTTAAAAATAGACCTGTTCTTTAGATATGGATGCAGTGTTAAAGCTGTAGTTGTTAGCCTTCACTGTACACTGTGAATAACTTGGGGAGCTTTAAAAATTTTTCAGTGCTTTGGTATATCCCAGAACAATTTAATGAAATGGGACTCAGGCATCAATATTTTGAAAAGCTTCCAAGGTGATTTCCATGAGCAGCCAAGATAGAGAACCATTGTGTTGGATGTTTTCCTTGACTGTGGTAATTTGCTCATGATGATAAGTTAGGACTGCATATTTCTTAGAACTTCTGAACACATAGATAGATAGCACTTTGTTGACTGAAAGCATGTCCTAAGTGTAAAATGTTTGTTAAGCAACAATCATAGTCAGGATCTTTGGAGTCTTTTTGCCTGGTATGGTTTTCCATAGAAAATTCCCAGATCTCCCACATAGAGGTAAGGGATTGGGTATCTCAACATTCAGTATGTAAATATATACTAGTTCCCTACCTTTCACCTTTCAGGTGAACTCCGTTTGGAGACTGTTTTACTCCTATGACTAAGCTTTTGGTCATTTGTGTTTATGTATAGAGGGTAGTCCATTAATGGCATAGGATTAGGTAGGGGACCCTGAGATCTGTTTCTTAAACAATCATCCCTTCAACTTTCATGGGTGGACATCACGTTCAGTGCTATATTCTTTGAGGTGGCTTGCCCAGTTATGCTGTATTACGGTACTTAGCTTCTCTAATGTGGTATAAAAAACATTAGCATATAGACAAAAATTAGGAAAGGAACCAACAAGATTTCTGCATTATAAGACTGACATCCTTTTCCTGTATGATTATTGCTTATAATATTTTTCAGACTTCTCAGAATATTATCAGACATGTTCTGATAAAACAGATCTATCTATCTATCTATCTATCTATCTATCTATCTATCTATCTATCTATCTGAGTGATACTGGCTATTGAACCAAGGGGCACTCAACCACTGAGCTACATCCCCAGCCCTTGTTTTATTTTTTATTTTGAGACAGGGTCTTTCTAAGTTGCTGAGTCTGGCCTTTAACTTGGGATCCTCCTGCCTTAGCCTCCTAAGTTGCTGAAATGTGCCTCTACGTCCAGCTATATTTTAAAACTTTGAAATAATCTCAAATTTACATACAAGTTCTTAGTACACTACAGATAACCTTTCCCTTCTCAATCCCTTGAGAATAGGTTGCCAACATGATGCCTCATCACTCTTCATAACTTTAATGAGTACTCTCACAACCCAAGATATCTCCTGCATAATCATGGTATAGCTATCCAAGTTAAGACATGAGCCTTGATACATTATTTCTATTTAATTCTCAAATATCATTCAGATTTAAACAGTTGTCCCAATAATGTTCTTTATAGCGAAAAGATTCACTGCAGAAACTCAGTAGTTTTAGTTGTCATGTCTCTTAGACCCCTTCTTTAGTCAGGAAAAGTTCTTCAGTGTTAACTTGAACTTCCTCCTTCCCCTTCCTCCTCCTCCTCCTCTCTCTGTCTGTCTCTCACTCACTCTCTTTTTCAGTACTGGTGTTGAACCCATGGTGTAACACATGGTAGGCAAGTATTCTACCATTGAGCTTCATTCCCAGCCCAATTTGATCTCCTTCTTTTTTTTTTTTTTTAATATTTTTTAGTTGTCGATGGACTTTATTTTATTTATTTATATGTGGTGCTGAGAATTGAACCCAGTTCCTCACACATGCTAGGCAACACTCTTCACTGAACTACAACCCTAGACCCCAATTTGACCTTCTTGACCTTTTAGTTTTGAAAATTACAGACTAGTTATTTTGTAGAATGTTTCATTTAGATTTATCTGATTTTTACTTGTGAGGTTATGCAACTTAAGCAGGTACATTATATAAATGATACTGTGTGCCAGGCATGGTGGCACAAGCCTATAATCCCAGGAACTGGGAAGGCTGAGGCAGGAGGAGTCCAAATCCAAGTATAGCCTGAGCCACTTAGTGAGATTCTGTCTCAAACAGATTTGCGGATGTAACTAAGCAGTAAAGTGCCCCTGGGTTTAATCCCCATACTACAAGAAAAGTTCTTCAGTGTTAACTTGAACTTCCTCTTTCCTCCTCCTCCTCCTCTTCCTCCTCCTCCTCTCTCTCGTCTCTCACTCACTCTCTTTTTTAGTACTGGGTGAAAAACTACTATGTTCTTACTGTATCCTTTCAAATGGCACATGATTTTAAAAAAATTATAGAGGGACAGAATGCCTTTATTTTATTTGTTTATTTTTATGTGGTGCTGAGGATCGAACTCGCTGCCTCATGCATGCTAGGCAAGCACTCTGCCACTGAGCTACAGCCATAGCCCACATGATTTTGATTTGTCTCATTACTGGTAAGGTCAACTTTGATAAAGGTATTATCTTACTAGGCTTCTTTAGTCTAAGATCATTCTTTTTAACTTTGATAGATAATACATATTTTGTTGGGGAGGATCTTCAAGATTATAAATATTTCTTTATTCAGCTTTAATTTATGTCAAAATTTAATTATTTTAGTATGTATTCCTGTTTTATTCAATGTGATATTATTCATTACTATCATTACTTATTTTGCCCATATTGACCCAAATTTGAAGTCTTCTGTATTCTTTTTAAAGATATTTATTTTTTGGTTATAGTTGGACACAATATCTTTATTTAATTTACTTATTTATGTGTGGTGCTGAGGATCTAACCCAGGGCCTCGCATGTGCTAGGTGAGTGCTCTACCACTGAGCCACAACCCCAGCCCTGGAGTCTTCTGTATTCTTTTGATTTGTCTCTGTTGCTCATTGAGTACTTCTTCCTAGCATGACAAAATGCTCCAAGCTCATCTTCTCATACTTTCTCTGCACCAGCCTGAAATTGATTGCAAAAATATAGTTCTTTTTGGTGGAGAATGATATTTAGAAGCCAAGAATTTGTGTGCATATACCTACATTTACATCTAGGTTTCTTTATTTATATTGAAAACCATTAGGGTGTCTATTGGTACCTCCAGTTCTCATTTACTATAACAGGATTTGTTCTAGCTTTCTCCTTTTCCAAATAAATAGTGCTTTTCTTAGCAGTGAGAAATATGGCTCCCATTTATGTTTATTTCTATGTATGCAATTTGGTTAATCCCCTGGTGCATAAGCAATATTCTCTCAGCTGCCATCTGCCCCTAGACGTATCCTCTCAGCCCTGCTCTGATGCTCTTTTACCCTTCTCAGGTTCTGACACCTCAGTAAGGTGATATGCCTTAGATACCATCCTCGTCCTTGTCAGGTCCTATCTTCCTTGCAGGATTGCCTCCCTGTGCAGACATCCTGCTTACCCAGAGTTGTGCTGTTACGTAGATTGTCCCATGCTGATTGACTCATGCAGCTCAGTCATCTCTGAAATACAATATCTCTACACTTACCTTGTTCAGCCCTTCCAAATGGCTATGGAACTGAGTTTCAGGAAGGACAAAATAAGAACCAAATTTGCATGTTTTGAAGGCTGTAGTTAGGGGTTTTGTCATTCCTGTACTAACATATTGTTTTGTTAATGTTGACTGTTTTTAAATCGGGAAACCTTTTGTATAGACCCTATCTTTAATTGCTTAGAACCTGTGAACCCCATCTTTGTGTATGGTCATTTTTTTTTACTTATATAAAAAATTGCTTATTAAATACTATTATATTTTGGTGTCAGTTTTGCTGTGCACTTAACAAGGTAACTTTTTGCTTAGCAACCTGGTTCACATAATATCTCTTGAAAATTTTAATCATTTTTTAAATTTGAGTCACTTTGTAATCATAATTATGTGATCAATCTGTTCTTCAGTACTTAACTATATAAGAACATACATTGTCTAATTATTCACTGTAGTGATTAATTTGCTTATAGTTAATTGAATACCTTGGAAGAGTGTGGCGTAACATAATATTTTATCTTGCGTTTTAGTAGTCTTATGTCTTTGTTTAGTAGTCTTTGTCTTGTATCCTGCATGTTAATTTAGTGCTCCCCTTTTTTTTTGCTTTCATGCCTTGTACATATGTTTATTGTGTCCGTCATCATATATGATTTTAAATGTTTCTGTTCTTCCTCACTAGATTGAAAGTCCATTGATAGAGGAGCGTGTATCTTTTCACCCCTCAGTCTCTGGGGCCTAGAAGAGTGCTTGGCTTATATCCAGCATAGACCTTTAAAACTTAGGGACTGGAAGCTTTTGTTTGGAGCATATAGCATGCAACATAATGGTGCCATCTTTTTTCTTTTTAATTAAAAAACAAATAATTCTTAATTCTTGTAGAAGCTGGATAAGAAATCATCTCCATCAACAGGAAGCCTAGATTCTGGAAATGAGTCAAAAGAGAAATTATTGAAAGGAGAAAGTGCACTGCAGCGGGTCCAGTGTATCCCTGGAAATGCCAGCTGTTGCGACTGTGGTCTGGCAGATCCACGGTGGGCCAGCATCAACTTGGGCATCACCTTGTGTATCGAGTGCTCTGGAATTCATCGGTGGGTTGTCTGTCCAGAGTGAGAGACTTCTTTTGGATGAACACATTGTAAAAAAAAAAAAAAAGAAAAGAAAAAAAAAAGTTAATTGTGTTCCATTTGTGAGAAGATTTTTTCCATTTCTCTAATTCACTACTGGTTTGTATTTTTGTACCATTTATCTGTAAAGCAGATAAAATTCTGGTTTGTGTGAAGTGCTTTTGAGGACTTTAGTTCACCATTCATTACTAACCAGGAGATCAATCCCTGTTTGCATGTGTTTTGAAGACTGTAGTTAGGGGTTTTGCAATTCGAAAAGAGAAAAAGTGTTTTCATAAATATGTGAGTAGAGACTTGATAGTTTTACATTAATAATGCAGTCTTTTTTTTTTTCCCCTAATATAGGAGTCTTGGGGTTCATTTTTCAAAAGTACGATCTTTAACTTTAGATACCTGGGAGCCTGAACTTTTAAAGGTAAAATGAATATTTGCGTGAAAATATTTATTTTCACATAAAAGTGATGATTTCAGAATCTTGGTTTAAAAATCTATGAGTTACTGTTGTTATGAATGAACTAACTTGTACTACACTACATATGAGGTTATTTTGGAAAATCTGGTGTTTTTATATTAAATTTTTGAAATTGTTAAGTGTATGTAGAACTCTTAAATCTTTAGTCAGTTTACTCTTACAAAACCAGTGTTTCTATATTTTTATGGTTTTTCAAAAAAATACTTTAATAAATTTCATAAATATGCAAGATTTGATAGTTTTATATTAATAATGCGGTCTTTTTTTGTGTGCCACAATTTTAACCTTTTATAATCAAATTCCTATTAAAATATAATAGATAAAATCCACAGTGAATTATTCTATTTATTAGTGTAGGAGTCATCAAACCAAGACATTCTTTTTTGTGTCTGTTTCTAAGGTTCATATCTATGAAAATGTCACAGTAATTTAGATTACTACTGGGTTTCAGATAAGATTACAAAATTCCTAGCAGTTAATAGTATATACTCTTTAATTTCCATGTCTAAATTACCTTATTGTTGAAAATAGATTAAAGATTGGAGTATACATTTTTTTCTGTCTCAGAATTTTGTTTTTAATGTGTTTATCCATTGAAAACCTGGTAAATCTGTCAGTTATGTAAAGTAAGAAATTTACTTTGTGAAATTATTATGTAAACATGTAAATAAAAATGATACATTGGTTTGTAAAGTAGAGCCCTATTTAGTTAGATTCTATGAATTGTTACGAATTCAAAGGACAAGAAAGTGAAGGGTGAGGGGCAGAAATCTTATTTCTACATTTACTTTGTGTGTGATAAAAATTCAGTGGAATCAATTTAGAAAATTTAAGAAAAATTGTGTGAAACACATCCATCTGATATGTTAAAATATGGCTGAAACTTTTTGAGCAAATTAGAGTAATTACATATAAATTAAAAAGAAAATAGTCTACTTCAATTTTGAGTTGTTTAAAACTTTACTGTCTGATTATTGGCTTCTTTTTTCAATGAATTCACCAGATATTGTGCCATCCATAATGGAGGGATAGAAATCTATTAGAAGATGGGTTCCCTACTGTTGCAAAACTTAAAGTCATTTTTGGGGAAAGAATGCAAATATAAATAAAGATGTTAGATGACAGATACAAGCACCTGCCATTTAGTCCAATTTTTTAAATGAAAGCATTATTAGTATTAGAGGGTTAAATATGAGTCTGGCCCTTCTAGAAGAAAATGAAATTTTCCCCTAGACAAATGAGACAAGTTATAGAGATTCAGGTAAGTAAAATTTAAATTTAAAAGACTGTAAGTAGGACAGTAAATAGAATATTAAAAGGATTCCTGGGGAAGAAATAAAAGTCAGATGGTATTACTAAAGGGATCAGCATGCCACCATACTGAGATTACATTTGATTTGTTATTTCTTTATTCTAGAATTATAGGGTAGACATAGAAATCTTTTCCTAGGCAAATATACAGAGGAGAAAGGAACAATTAATTGGTTGCAACTTAGATAAGGCTTGTAAGCCTTTAATTATTGTTTAATTGAAATAATATGTGCTAAGCGCAATGGCACATGCCTGTAATCCCAGCCACTTAGGAGGCTGGGACAGGAAGATTTTAAGTTGGAGACTAGCCTGAGCAACTTAGCAAGATCCTCAACAAATTAGTTAGACTGTGTCTCAAAGAATAAAAAGGGCTCAGGATGTATGTAGCTTAGTGGTAGAGTGCCCCTGCATTAGATCCCCAGTACCACAAACAAACAAAACAAGTAACCCCAAAACACACATATTAAAGATAAGCTTTGAAATAACAAGCAAAAGGAAGAAAAAGTACCCAAAATGGTAATCACCTTGCCAAATAGTCTTTGTCTTTTATTGCATCCTTTTGTAGTATCTTAAAATTGCTAAAGAAAATGATAGAATAATAGCATATAAATCTAAAATTTTGAAAAATAAGAATTCCTATAATTTCTTTTTTAAAAATAGAATTTGGTGACATTAACTTATTTTTATGAGGATATTTTATAAACTTTAATTATAGTGTATGTGTGAATTTCTTTAGTGGATAGTATGAAATGTGTTCCAAATTCTTACCCAACTTTTTTTTATTTATTTTTTTATTTTATTTTATTTTATTTTTTATTTATTTTTTCTTTTTTTAATTTTTTTTATTGGTTGTTAAAAACATTATACAGCTCTTGACATATCATATTTCATACATTAGATTCAAGTTGGTTATGAACTCCCAATTTTACCCCAAATACAGATTGCAGAATCACATCGGTTACACATCCACATTTTTACATAATGCCCTATTAGTAACTGTTGTATTCTGCTACCTTTCCTATCCTCTACCATCCCCCCTCCCTCCCCTCCCATCTTCTCTCTCTACCCCATCCACTGTAATTCATATCTCTCCTTGTTTATTTTCCCATTCCCCTCACAACCTCTTATATGTAATTTTGTATAACAATGAGGGTCTCCCTCCATTACCATGCAATTTCCCTTTTCTCTCCCTTTCCATCCCACCTCATCTATCTGTTTAATGTTAATCTTTTCTTCCTGCTCTTCCTCCCTGCTCTGTTCTTAGTTGCTCTCATTATATCAATGAAGACATTTGGTATTTGTTTTTTAGGGATTGGCTAGCTTCACTAAGCATAATCTGCTCTAGTGCCATCCATTTCCCTGCAAATTCTATGATTTTGTCATTTTTTAGTGCTGCGTAATACTCCATGGTGTATAAATGCCACATTTTTTTTATCCATTCATCTATTGAAGGGCATCTGGGTTGGTTCCACAGTCTAGCAATTGTGAATTGTGCTGCTATGAACATCGATGTAGCAGTATCCCTGTAGTACGCTCTTTTAAGGTCTTCAGGGAAAAGTCCAAGAAGGGCAATAGCTGGGTCAAATGGTGGTTCCATTCCCAGCTTTCCCAGGAATCTCCATACTGCTTTCCAGATTGGCCGCACCAGTTTGCAGTCCCACCAGCAATGTACAAGAGTACCCTTTTCCCCACATCCTCTCCAGCACTTGTTGTTGTTTGACTTCATAGTGGCTGCCAATCTTACTGGAGTGAGATCTTACCCAACTTTTTTAACATCAGTTACTGAACAATATTTTCTTATCATTTTGCTATTTCTCCTTTGCCTTACATTAAATTTTTGTAAATAGGGTTGATTTCTATTCTGCTAGTTCTCATCCAATGATATATTTATTATCTTACAGTCCTAGCATGGATTTTTTTTAAAGGCTAACATATAATAGTACCTTTATTTTTAAAATGAAAAATGTGCTCTAGGTCAATAATATAAAAATATCATTTATAATGCATTCTTTATTATTCTTCATTCCTATGACAAAATCATCCATCACAGACTGGGGATGTAGCTTTGTGGTGGAGTGCTTGCCTAATATGCACAAAGCCCTGGGTTCAGTCCCCAGCACTGGAAACAGACAAACACAAAATCCCCCCAAACTAGAAGTAATAATTGCTCAAAGAAGGAAAAGCACATTTAAATTTTGTAAAGGATAGCAGGGCTTATGGAGTCAGAGGAGAGAAATTGGTTTCCCTCTCTCCCTTTTTAGTGGTACTAGGGATTGAACCCAGGGCATTACCTATGCCATGCAAATGCTCTACCACTAAGCCACATTCCCAGCCTAGGGGAGAGAAATTGAGATAAAGGGAGAAGTAATAGAAGCAAGGAGAGGATGTCATGACAGAAGAAGGACATCACAGAATAAAAAGATTCTGAAAGGGGCCCGGCATGGTGGTGCATGCCTGTAATCCCAGCGGCTCGGGAGGCTAAGGCAGGAGGATCTCAAGTTCAAAGCCAGCCTCAGCAATGGTGAGGCACTAAGCAACTCAGTGAGACTCTGTCTCTAAATAAAATACTAAATAGGGCTGGGGATGTGGCTCAGTGGTCAAGTGACCCTGAGTTCAATTCCCAGTACCCACCCCCCCGCCCCCAAAAGAAAAAAAGATTCTGAAAGGGCTCATGAGTATGGAACAGGAAAGAAAGGATAAGTTGTTGTTTTTTTTTTTTTTTTTCCTGTCTGCTTAGTGCTTCCTTGCTGAGGGTGCCTTTATCAGGCTTTGCTCCCATTCTTGGGTCTAGATCATATTTTTATCTTCTTCCTGTCTCATCCCAGGCCTTTCCCCTCTTTCACCAACTCACATGTCCCAACATCTTGACTTTGTTCTCTGCAATCACTGATTGTGTCATCCTAATGTGTATGCAATATCTCTCTTACCCAGATGTGATTTTTCAGAAAAGCATTTGCATGATCTGTATCTTGGCATAGTAAGCATGTTTGGCCTGATGATCAAGCCTGGAATCGGGCACAACTAGATGCAGTATGATTCACCGAGAGGCTACAGATATGATTTGTTAGTGAGGTGAGGAAAGCTCAAACTGAATTAAAAAGGTGAATGTGCAGATACAAAGGAAAATCTAAGAGATTTTGGAACATACACCAAGGAACCAATCATTATTTGGAAGTAGAACCAAGGAGAGGGAAAAGTCCAAAAGTAATTTCAATAAAGCTGTACCTTTGATGGATTTGTCTGTTTCTAGGAAGTGGAAGGAGAAAACTGAAAAGACTAGATACTTAATCTTAAATTATTGTACTAAGACTGGCTAGTGCTAACTATAGCTAACTGTATAGGTAAGGCTTGTTGTTACACTTCTTGCCCTACTATGGACATATAGACACAGTAGTTGTGATATGTAGATAGATAGATAGACAGGTATGTGTGTGCGCGCATGTGTGTGTGGTTAGAATTTAGTAAGAGTGCTAATGTCCTAGGGAAGGTATTCTGATGAACAATGGCAAAGTAATAATATTCTCACTCCTCAGTTTATTTTTAACTGTAAATTTTGTTGAATGAATGATTGATTGCTTTAAGGACTTTTAATTTATAGTTTGCTCATTTGTTTTCCTGCTAAACAGCTTATGTGTGAATTGGGGAATGATGTTATAAATCGTGTTTATGAAGCTAATGTGGAAAAAATGGGAATAAAGAAACCACAACCAGGACAAAGGTATTGTTTCAGTTCTCTCAATGTTCTGCCCCCCAAATCAGTAATATAGCTATGATTTTATTTCACTATAGTCCACATTTAACATCAAGACAGAATGTTAAAAGTAATTGTGACAGTTCAAATGTGACTATCTCTGTTTTGGGTATATTGTATATTTTATTAAGCAGATAATCAACTGTAGTCCTTTGATGAGAAAGACTCTTAAAAATGAAATATCGAGGGCTGGGGTTGTGTTTCAGTGTTAGAGCACTCCCCTAGCAGATGTGAGGCCCTGGCTTCGATCCTCAGTACCACATAAAAATAAAAAAATAAAGGTATAAAAAATGAAATTTTGATGTAAAAATGTAAAAGCTTTTAGCTATTAAAGTGTCCAAAGTCTTGTAAGTGGCAGGCATTTGAAAAGAAATCTCCAATGACCAAGATTCTACTACCTACAATGAATACTTTTACATTGTTTGACTTGGTTCCACAAATGTTTGTTAACCACATACTTAATTCATGGTATTATGACATTGAGAAATCAAAAATGAAAAAAGGCAGCTCTGGTGTGTGTGAAATTACTCTTCCAATCCTATGTAAGGACACTATTAAACAGTAGCCAGAAGTCAGTGTGTTAAGGCACATAATTTTTGTTGTTGATGCTGTTTTTAGTTATTAGGATTCTTTATTTTGGCATTAAAATTTTATTTGCCATAATCCTATTTTGAGATTTTTAGCTCTCTAAGTCACTGTCAATTAAATCAGAATCTTAATATTCGCTAAAGCATGACTGAGTTAGTTTAAGCCTTGAAATATCCTATTTCAACCAAAAACGAAAGCATTTTAGAAGGACATGTGTAAGAAAAACTGTAGAATAGATTTGCTATTTTATGATTGTATCATAAATCAGAAGTTTAAATTGTGACATCTTTTCCCCTATAAATTAGGATTGCTAAATTGTTTTAAAGTAGTTATTTTTTTTAAATTATGACCATCAATAGTAGTGATAGTTGAGTATGTCAGTAAAAATGAAATAAATTTCTATAGTTTTCCTAATTTTTTTATTCTGCAAATAGAATGAGTGCATATATAGAAATAAATGTACACAATATTAAGAAAATAAAACAATGTAACATTAATACTTCCGATTTTTCAGTTAGGTTATTATTTTTCATTTGACTATGAAGTCAGTTCATTAAATATTTGGAAGGGAAACATGCTATATAATGTCACAGGTTCAGTTTTTATTAATATTTCATTCATTGAAAATACTTAGCTATGCTAAGGGATCATGACATTTTTATGTATACCAGACAGGAGAAAGAGGCATATATCAGAGCAAAGTATGTGGAAAGGAAATTTGTGGATAAATATTCTATATCATCATCACCTCCTGAGCAGGAAAAAAAGATTGTCTCCAAAGGTTGTGAAGAAAAGAGGCTGAGCATTTCTAAACTTGGGCCTGCTGACCAAGTCAGAGCATCTACCCAAAGTTCAGGTATTACAACTCCCTTGTTGTGAATATAAAAATTTTCTTGAGTGAAGTCAGTGATCTCTGAATTAATAGTCATTGTAGGTATCTTAAATGCTTTAAACCTATTTTTTTCCCTACATATTCAAAGGAAAAACTGGATTTCTATGTCTTTCAAACAGTTAAATTTAAATAATGCCAAGATAATTCACATTTCTAGGTAATGTGTATATTCTAAGGAATAAAACTGCTTAAAATACAAGGGGAGAGGGGAATTATAAATCTATCATGCCAAAAGCCCTAAGTATCTGATTAACTACCTGATTTCCTTCCTATTTTTTCCTCCTAAATTTTTCCCAGTAACGTGTTCTCCTGCCCTTTTCCCTTCTTATGGCCTGCTTTGTGCTTTGCTAACTTGCATGTCCCCAGTGGTTGCTGTAAATAGCGACGAGGCCAGGCGGGAGTCTCTGTTCTGTCCTGATGAGCTAGATTCACTCTTCTCCTACTTTGATACTTCTTCAAAACTGCGTAGTAGTAAGTACTGCTCTTGGGAGCATTCCAAGTCTGTGCAGTGGTCATTGTGCGGTGTGGCCATTTCTCTAGATGTTACCCATTGTCTCAGAATTACACATTACTTTTAGTCATGCAATAAATTAAGCTCTTTACTACTCCTAACAATTTATGGGGAATGAGATGTCAAAACTCTGAAAATAAGTTTATTTTCAGGCTTTGTGATTGACTTATATTACAATAAGCTAAGTGTTCAGATGGATTAAAATTGTACTAAATGTATTTTACTAGTGGTGACTGAGTTCATGTTGACATGTAAGAGCTCATTTTAAAACCTTGTTGGTTGCGGGAGTTTGCTATCTAAATGATGTGAACTTTAATCACTAGCTGATTTTTCTTTAAAACAGTCAAAAGTAATGACAGTGGGATCCAGCAGAGCTCTGATGATGGGAGAGAATCTCTGCCCTCCATGGTGTCAGCCAGTAGTTTATATGAGCCTGGTGAGTTTTGATGGAATTTGGTGTTAATTGGTCTAGTTTGCATTTGGTAAGTGCCTCCTCTTGATTAAATAGTTTATAAAGAAGTGGTTAGTCATTCAGAAGGTAGTAAGTGAGGAATAAAACTGTTAAACAAGAAAGCAACTATTTCTCTTCATATTTGAAAATTCTCTCTGAGTGGTATAGTCTTCCAGGTCTCATGATGTATTCTCAGAATGCCTTCCCAATTGCTAAGGAAAATTTTTAACCCACAAGCACTGTGTATCTTTATCTTTCCCCCTGGCTATCTTTTCTTAACAGATGAAGGAGATCAGCAATGACTTCTCCATTAAGTTTTTCCTCTGACCAATGCTTTCTTCTGTCTTTATTCTCTCTCCTGTGAGTTCAGTGATTTTGATCTTGTGGAATTCTCAGGAGAGAAAGCATTCTTCATATGATTTGAACTGATTATAGTGCAAATTGTGATGGTACTGGATTATCTAGAAATGAAATGAGATTTATCTAGTGTTGAAATTCTTTAGGGATTCTTGCTGCTTCCTGAATCCATGCTTATTGAAAATGTAGCCAAGGTTAACAGAGTAATTAGCCTATCTGTTGGGTTCCCACAAGACCACAAAAGCCTAGCATACCAGTTGATGTTTTTATGAGAGAAGGTTGAATGTTCAATGATTAGTCTATAGGAAATAAGAATTTATGTGAAAATCTGCCATAAGCTCATTGTGATAGATTAATGGTTTCTTATGTCACAATCTTCACATTGTGGTAAGCGGAAGAGTTCACTTTTTAAAAAAAATTGTGGTAAAATGCACACAACATAAAATTAGCCATGTCAACTAATTTTTAAATCTATAATCCAATGCATTCACTTTGTGCCACCATTGCCACCATTCATCCACAAACTCTTTTTTCATTTTGTAAATCTGAAACACTATACCTGTTAAACAATTCATCCCTTTCTTGCCAAGAATTCATTTTTAATAATGTATTTGTGTTTGCTTTTCAGAAGGAGAAAGGCAAGATTCTTCCGTGTTTCTCGACTCTAAACATCTTAATCCAGGACTTCAGCTTTACAGGGCTTCATATGAAAAAAACCTTCCTAAAATGGCTGAGGCTTTGGCTCATGGTGCCGATGTGAATTGGGCTAACTCAGAGGAAAACAAAGCAACACCACTTATTCAGGCTGTATTAGGGGTATGAATTTATACATTGAGGTTTTCATTGATAGTAAAATATAAAATAGTATAAGTTTTGAACTTGGCTTTTTGAACTGGCTTTGTGTGTGTGTGTATTTTTAATTTTTTGTTTTAAGAGATGGCTTAGAAAATAAACCTTTGTGGACTGGGGTTGTGGCTCAGTAGTAGAGCACTTCCCTACCATGTGAGAAGCACTGGGTTTGCTCCTTAGCGCCACATATAAATAAATAAAAATAAAAGCCCATCAACAACTAAACAAAATTAAAAAAAAAAAAAAAGTAGCTTGATGTTCCAAAAAGAAAATGAATCTTTGAGTACTAAATAGTGATTCCTGGGCATCAAAATTGATTATTTTAGTTGTTTTTGTTTTGTTTTGTTTTGCTTAATGGAAGAGAATTTTGATAATGAAAGTAGTCAACTATTAATAAATCCCTATTAGAAGTAGTTTTGGGGAAGAAAATAATATAAACTATCGTTTCTTTGCTTTTGCTGGGCAGTATTTTTTGTATGGGAGAATAAAATGGAAGTTCTATTTGAGTAAAGTAAATGAAACTACTTGTGGGTGGATGTGGGGAATGGCTATTGGGGATTGAACTCAGGGCTTAGCATTTGATAGGGAAGTGCTCTACCACTGAGCTGCATCCCAGACCCTTTTTATGCTATTTTGAGAGAGGGTCTTGTCAAGTTGCCCAGGATGAACTTGTCACCCTCCTGCCTCAACCTCCTTAGTACCTGGGATTACAGGCTTGCACCACCACACCTGGCATTATGTTGTTTTTAAATAGAAATGTATTACTGTTTCTTATTGTTTGCATTTGAACATCATTATCCTCTTTTTCTCTTTAAGGGCTCTTTGGTGACATGTGAGTTCCTCTTACAGAATGGTGCTAATGTGAACCAAAGAGATGTCCAAGGGCGGGGACCACTACACCATGCCACTGTCTTAGGGCACACAGGGTAACTATAGTGTTTAAATATTTAGGTAGATATTATTTGAAAAATTATTTTGAAATAATGTTTTGCTTTTTCTCAGGTTGAGATCATTAGGTTTGCAAGGAGATATATTCCTATGACTAATAATTGTTCTGTTGAAATTTGAAAGTTCCAAGTTTTTTTTTTTTAGGAAAAAAACCCAAAAACCAAAAAACAAAAAACTACAGTTAGTTTCCAGACAAGAAAATTTCAAAGCTTATGTTGATCTTAACTTGTCATTAAATAGAACAGTTTTAGTATTTAACTTCCTCGGTTCTTACAATTGTGGTGGTTTTGTTAGACAACTTAAGTCTGTGTTTGTGTATTAATGCATGTACATATACAGTATCTGCATAGTGCACACACCCACAATTCTACTTTTGCAGAATTTTGTAACTTTGGAATTTTTAATTTTTATGTGGGGTAGCTAGGTAAATTATGAAGTAAATTTGTGGTTTGGGCAAATGACATTACGGCTTTTGAAACAGTGTTAAGACTCATAGGACAATAAAACCATGAAAATGTACTTTGTATTATAAAGTATGAATGAGGGAAAGATGTTGGCTTTATACCAAAACTTTGTGTCATAGGCAATTGATTTTTTAATGAACTTCTTACCATTTTATTCTAGTTATTATTTCCTAGATGGACAAGAGGCTGTTCTTTTTTTATTTTTTAAAATAACATCTTTTATTTTTATTATGACTTATTTTCTTTCCCTTTATCAGCAAGAGATTGATTAAAAAAATAAACTGAGCATGTGTATTTTAATTCATTAGCAGAAGCTTCACAAACTTAGCATTGCACAAGTGTTGATTTTTTTTAATGCTACAAAATTAGTTTCTTGTGAAGATTTTCATTATTGAAAATATCACACAATTTATAACACTTGAAAAAAATATATTCAATCCACATCAATTCTCAAATCCTCTGGCTGGAAGATATCATTATTTTGCTCAGTCTGCTATTGCTTCTAAGATAGGAAAGATCAGATAAAAAAGGTTCTATACCACAGACCAATGTGCTTGACATTGTTGGGGTTCACATTTTAAGTTACCCAGCAGCTGGATAAAATGCCATTTTGATTTTTCTTCTTATGTTGTTTCTGCTTAAATAACACCCAAAGATACAGACATGACCATGGGAAAAAGATCACTTTAGTTTGCTATCATCAAAACTACAACACGAATGAATGTGCTTGTTTTCCAGACACAGCATGAGATTATCAGTTTGAAAACTTGCTAAAATTGATACATAACATAAAAACATATCCATGAGGTGACTGATTTTGGGTTATTTTTCTGGGCCATTAGATGGTTCTTAGTCTTTTTGGGTACGTTTTATCAATAAGGCAGGCATATTGACTGTTGCATACATTTTAAAAAAGGATGAAAAATATTAAATTCACCATCTCATCTATTCCAGTCTTTACTAGATAATTAAATGCTTTAAGTAGTTAAAATTAATGTTAAACTTTAATTTGAAAGTCAGCAAGGTCTTATTTTATCAGCCTTGACCTTCCTTTATTCCCAAATAATGGCTTTGACTGACCTTTCTTGAAGTTTCTCAAAATCTGTATACTTTTAAAATGATATTCTTTAAAGATATGGGCCATAATTTATATATCCCACTGTGCACCAGATTGTGTAAGATTATATAAATGAAAATATTTCAAAATGTACATTGATCTTGGTCAATTTTTATTATGAAAATCAGTGTTCATTACATATTTGTAGAATGAATCAAGAATTTTATAATGAAATGTTTCTTTTTAAGCTTTTTATTTTTTAAGATTAATATTATTTTTATTCTTCTTGGCAATATTTCAAAAACACTGTTTCCTTAAACAGGCAGGTATGTTTATTCCTAAAGCGAGGTGCCAATCAGCATGCCACTGATGAAGAAGGGAAAGACCCTTTGAGCATAGCTGTGGATGCGGCCAATGCTGATATAGTAACTTTGTAAGTATTTCTTTTCTACTTGATTATTTCCCATGCAGTATATTACTTATACAGGGTGTTAACACTGAGATTCATGCTTTTCTGAATTTTAATTGTGGTTGGTATTTGTTCTGTACCATGTACTTCTCTCAGCACGTCAAATGCACAAACTGTTTTGGTTCTCACAACAACCCCTAGTAGTGGGGGTCAAATCCATGTCCTTTCACATGCTAGGCAGGCACTTTTCCATTGAGGTATATCGCAGCAATATTACTTTCATTATCTTTATTTTTTCCACATATTTTATTGGTACATTATACCAATAAATTTATAAATTTTATTGTACATAATGGTGGGATTTGTTGTTTCATATTTATACATGCATACAATATAACAATATAATTTGGCCAATATCACTCCCTTCCTCTTTCCCTCTCCCTCCTTTCATCCCACTCCCTGGTCCCTTTCCTTTATTCTTCTGATCTCCCTTTGATTTTTATGAGATCCCTGCCCCCTTTTCCTTTTTCCTCTCTAGATTCCACATATGAGAAAGCATGAGACTCATGATGTTCTGAGTTTGTTTGTTTAACACAATGGTCTCAATGGTTCATTTTTCTGCAAACGACATAATTTTTCTTTATGACTGAATTAAACTCCATTATTTATATATACTACATTATCTTGATCCATTAATATACTGATGAATATCTAGGCTAGTTCCATAGTTTGGCTATTGAAATTGTGCTGGTATAAACAGGGGTCTTCACATATCATCATAGCGTGCTGACTTTTAGTTCCTTAGGATAAATACCAAGGAGTGGTATAGCTGGGTCATATGGTAGTTTCATGCCTGGTCTTGTAAGAAACCTCCGTACTGATTTCCATAGTAGTTGAACTAATTTACAGTTCCACCAACAGTGTAAAATTGCTATTTTTTTTTCTCCATATCCTCTCCAGCATTTGTTATTCTTTGTATTCTTGATGACTGCCATTCTGCCTGGTGTGAGATGAAATCTCAGTGTAGTTTTGATTTGCATTTTCCAAATTGCTAATGATGTTAAACATTTTTTCATATATTTGTTGGCCATTTGTGTTTCTTCTTTTTAGAAGTGTCTGTTTAATTTACTGCCTATTTATTATTTGGGTTTTTTGTTTTTTGGTGTTTAGTTTTTTTTGAGTTCTTTATATAGTCTAGATATTAACCCTTTGTCAGAAGAGTAGTTATAGCAAAGATTTTCTTATTATCCTCATAGATAAGGATGCTAAGTTACAGATAATTTGAGAAATCAGTGAGTGATTTCTGAATTCACTTGAAACCAAGAATTTTGACTCTTAGCCACTTTTGCTACATTGCCTGATCAGTAGAAACCAAACCAGTGACTTCTTTGAAATGTTTTCTTTAACTCTCAGTATAGTACTAGGCTGGAGTTGGGATTGGTAATATAATAGGTAATGATTCTCCTACCTTGAGAATTCGAGGATTATAAGTAGGGAGGGCAGCTCCATTGATGTTAGGAACTTGTGAGGTTGCATTGCCTTTGGGTGGTAGTATTTAGAAATATGGGGAGGTGCCAAAAATATACATTGGCAAAAAGATAGCTTTTACAAATGGTGCTGGGAAAACTGGAAATCCATATGCAGCAATTTGAAATTAAACCACTGTCTCTCACCTTGCACAAAACTCAAAAGTGGATCAAGGACCTAGGAATAAGACAGAGATCCTGTGCCTAATAAAGAAAAAGTAGGTCCATATCTACATCATGTCGGATTAGGTCCTGACTTCCTTAACAAGACTCCTAAACAGCAAGAAATAAAATCAAGAATTAATAAATGGGATGGATTCAAAGTAAAAAAGCTTCTTCTCAGCAAAGGAAACAATCAACAATGTTAAGAGCAAGCCCACACACTGGGAGAACATCTTTACTACACGTACACCAGATAGAGCACTAATTTCCAAGAAACATAAAGAACTCAAAAAACTCAACACCAAAAGAATAAATAACCCAGTTAATAAATGGACTAAGGAAATGAACACACACTTCACAGAAGAAAATATACAATTGATCAACAAATTTATGAAGAAATGTTCAGCTTCATTAGTAATTAGAGAAATGTGAATCAAAAGTACTCTTAAGATTTCATTTCACTCCACTCAGAATGGCGATTATCAAGAATACAAGCAACAATAAGTGTTGACAAGGATGTGGGGAAAAAGGGACTACAAATTGGTGCAACCACTCTGGAAAGCAGTATGGAGATTCCTTAAAAAAATCTGGAATGGAACCACCATTTGATCCAGCTTTCCTACTCCTTGGTCCATACCCAAAGGACTTAAAATCAGCATATTACAGTGATACAGCCATATCAATGTTCATAGCAGCTCAATTCACAATAGTTAAACTGTGGAAGCAACCTAGATGCCCTTGAATAGATGAATGGATAAAGAAACTGTAGTGTATATATACACAATGGAATATTACTCTGCATTAAAAAAGAATGAAATTATGGCATTTGCAGGAAAATGGATGGAGTTGGAGAACATCATGCTAAGCAAAGTAAGCCAGTCCCCAAAACCCAAAGGCCAAATGTTCTCCCTGATAAGTGGATGCTGATCCATAATGGAGGGAGATGGGCATGGGAAGAATGGGGGAACTTTAATTGGGCAAAGTAGAGGGAAGGGGCAGAGGGGCCATGGGGATAGGAAAGATGGTGGAATGAGATGTACATCACTACCCTAGGTACATGTATGACTGCACAACTCTAAGTCGTATACTACCAGAGAAATGAAAAGCTGTGCTCCATTTGTGTACAATGAACCGAAATGCATTCTGTTGTCATGTATAACTAATTAGAACAAATTAAAAAAAACACACAATTATTTACATGAGCTGGGCATGGTGGTACAGACTTGTAATCCCAACAATTTGAGAAGCTGGGGCAGGAGAATCACAAGTTCAAGGCCAGCCTTGGCACTTAGCGAGGCCCTAAGCAATTTAATAAGGGCCCATCTTAAAATAAAAAACAAAAAGGGCTGGGGATGTAGCTCAGTGGTAAAGCATACCTAGATTCAATTCCCAGTGTCCCTTTTCTCTCCTCCTCCAAAAATTATTTACATAAACACTTGATTGATTTTTAAGATAAAAATACATGTTTTTGAGGATTTGAATAAAATTTAATGTGATCTATTAAAGAATTTTGAGGTTTTAGGGCTGAGGTTGTGGCTCAGAGGTAGAGCGCTCGCCTAACATGCGTGAGGCACTGGGTTTGATCCTCAGCATCACATAAAAATAAAGACATTGCATCCACCTATAACTAAAAAATAAATACTTAAAAAAAGAATTTTGAGGTTTTAATTTGATTTATATATTAGTTCAAAATAGTTTGTTATACTTGGAATCTGGAAATGTGATTGTCACCTATTCTTCATTGCTATATGGATAGCAGAAGTATATTTTATATTAAGTCACTTACTCACTCTACTCTGGACTACATGAAGCTCTAAATTGGTGTTTCCCCTCTCATTAGAGTAGAAGCCCTTTCACACTACTGACTCCCATGACTGCCTTGAGCTCCTGAGCTCCCAAGCTCCCAATGAGGATTCCTGGCTTGCCTTGTGTCACTCTCCCTAACAATTGCCAAATTAGAAAACAAAACAGCAGAGCACACTTTTCCCACTGGAGGAGTTATTGCTATTGTAGAAACTACTGTAGGAAAATGTAGACCTATTATGATGCCATTCTAGATTTAGAGTAGGAAAAAAAATAGTTACTAAAAAGAAAAGATTGAAACAGCATGGGGAAACTCTGGATGTAGCTTCCCAGGCAATTCCTATAAAAAAAAAATTCCTATAAAAAAAAGTTCCCAGGGGTTGGGAATATAGCTCAGTTGGTAGAGTGCTTGCCTAGCATGCACAAGGCCAGTCCTGAGTTCGGTCCCCAGCACCACAAACAAAACAAAACAAAACAAAATACTCTTCCCTCTCTAAAAATCTACATATTAAAGGAAGATTTATGAAGCTATCATTAATTCCTGCAGTGGTTGAGAGAGGAAAGGAAGGGAATTGTGGAACTTTGACGACAGGCAAAGCACACGTCAGATGCTGTAGTTCCTAGAGTGATAGAGATCTGGGAAAGCAGTAGATGGTGGCCCAGAAGGCCAGGCGAGGAATACAAAGGAAAAGAAAGGTACCCAAGAGAAAATTTTACTATTTTAAAATGTTGTTTAAAGTTAGTTTAAAAAAAGCCCGGGGGGGGGGGGGGATACTTGTCCTCTTCATCCAATGCTATATGTCTTCTGTCAGGAAGAATAACCCCCAAAGAATGTAAAGCCAATATGGTAATCTTGGAAGAATTTTCATAACCTATAGTCATTTATTACAGTTTTTGGATGTCAAAAAATATGTTCCCAGTATTTAGAGGTAATGTGCTATTTATACATTGTAAACTACCTCACTTCAGAGTAAACATTGCTTACATACTCTAGAAGAATAATTTCAACAGTTGGCAGTTATAATTTGATAGTTTGTTGGAGAAGCCAGGAATTCTCTGAAGTCTGGAGATATTGTATCTGAGATAACTGGGTCTTATAAACTAAAAAGCCAATTTGTCTTACTGGCAAATATTGGTAAAGGGGAAAAAATTACATCAGCACACATATTACCTGCTTATATGATTCACACATACCTTCATCTAAAAGATTATTTTATTTAATTTCAGGTTACGTTTAGCAAGAATGAACGAAGAAATGCGGGAATCAGAAGGACTTTATGGACAGCCAGGTCAATATTCCACTAATAACCATACTGAAATGCAGTATAAGAAATGCATTCAGGAATTTATCAGTTTACAATTGGAAGATTCATAGTTCATAGTTCTTTAATGTGATACTATAGAATTTTTATAACCTACTTGTAAATTTTGAGTTGTTAGCTATATCTGTACCTTCTGAATTCTTGGGAGGCTGATCCTAGCCCCTTGAGAATCCACAGCTGTTTCTATTACAGTGCACATTTGCTGTGTTTCACTTTGGCTGCTGACTTCCTCATCTGCTGTACAGATGTCTTCCACATACATTCCAGTGACCTGAATGGAATGATGAAAATACTTTCTATATACTTACAGCAGCAAATTAGTTGATTTCTTTTTGGAATTTTTTTTTTTTTTTTTTTTTTTTTAGTGAATATAACAAAGTTACTTTCTTTTTGTTATTCAGGGAATTTCTATACATTGTGTTCAGGGAAAAAAAAAGAAAAACAACAAATCACCATACGTCTGCATACAAAATATCAGTATGGAAAATAACAAGGAAAGGTTTATCAAAAAGTTTTCTATTCCAATATAAAGATGAGTTGAAGATTTAAAGTAACAATGTACCAGTAGGTTAAAAGTCTATAATGGGAGTGGAGTTATTTAAAATGTTGAAAAATAAGGTCTCATTTATATCTTTAGCTTTGCCCCAAGTAATTGTAAAATATCTGTTGGATAAGTGGAAGTTTTTAGAACAGCATTTTGTAAACCCAATGACAAAGTAGACATTAGAGAAATTTCAACTCATGATCACCTAAAACTTTGTTCTGAGTAATTTTCAGCAAAGTTGAGATGTCATGGAAAGGAGGGCGTTGCTGATCATATTCCTCTTTTATGAACACGTGCTGATTAGACGTTCTTCACAAAGAAAAGAATATTTATTGAATCTTTAGTTTCAAATTCATATACATATTAGTAAAAAATTCATGAATTTATGACTAAAATACTTTAGAATGTTCAGTTTATAATTAGTATATTTTTGATTTTTAAAAATATGAATATTGGTTAACTTCATTTTTAAAGTGACCTGGTAATATCATTTCCTCTTTCTGTTGAAGTAGTGTTTTAAGATTTCTGTACTAGCTTCATCCATTTGCTTTATTTTAACTAGATCCATATATAATGTATCAGTGGGCCATTCTTTTCTCAGAGGACTGTCTGTTTATTGCTTATTTTTGGCCTGATTTAATGGGGAATAAGTAAGGACTTTGAGAATAGAGGCATTTCAGCTAGATACTTGTAATCTAGGGCGTCCAACTCTAATCCTATGGATCATATGTACTATTTGCTCATGATATTCCAAGATGTAAGAATGCTGATTTGGGTGAAGCTCTAGTGTTAATTCTGGATTTCACCCATTTGTTTTAAACTTGAATGTTGGACTTTAAATAAGTTATAATTTTGTAACAGATATACTTAAGTGATAGTATTAATAGGCCATTTTTGAGGCCTTTGTGTTTAAGCACTTTAAAATAAAAATTAATCAAAGGATATGATTTGATATTTGTGAGATAACAGTGAACTTCAAGATTTTAAGTTAAACAATTTTTTTTTCCTGAAATTTTAAACTTTAATGTTTGGTCAGTTGCTCTTTCCTTAAGGTGTTTGCTGATGAAGTTTTCCCAATTGATTAGTCAGAAGGTCAGTGGATGACTCTTCTCTGGAGTTGTAAGCTTGAAAAGACAGAACCTTCAAGTTCTTGCTACTATTTCTAGTTCTACCCAAATAGCTTGGGTGGCTATTTCCATCATTTGGGAGCATTCTAATATCTCTTTCACTGTCCCTTATGTATAAATTTATATATAAGTATGTTAACTTCCCTTCATCAGTAAAAAAATTATTTTTTCCAATTTATTTTAATGAAAATATGAAAAAAAAGGCTGATTTTAAAACAAGCTTTTCTATTATTCCCAAATTTTAGAAGTTAAAAAATAGGTCATGATTCTGGAAATAGTGTGAATAGTATAAAAGTTATAACTTTTATTCTGGAAATAGTGTGAATCAGAATAAAATGAGGATCATCTCGACAATACTGAGATTTTTTAACACATTTGCAAGGCCTATTATTTAAAGCAGAAAAAAAATTATGCTTATACAGGTGACATAGTGAAATGGCACAGCAGTTGCTCTCTGGTAACTTTTCTTTTCCATTATTAGTTGTAGAGAGAGATATTTGGCTCTAGCATCAGCTCTTTGGTTTTCTTGTTCTTATCACTATAATTTTTTTTTTTCTAAAGAGACTGGTTGATTGCTTTATTTGGATTCTTTTTTCTTTTTCTTTTTTTTGGATTGTCTTAGTAATATAAACTACAGGTACAGGAATTTTCAGTTTTGATAATGAAGATTTCTGCCATTTAAAAGACTCAGATACAATGTTTGGCAATCATGGACCTATTTCTAGGAAATCCCATTTGTGAACTTTTTATTTACAAGCCTGAGGACCTGGGACTCCCTACTTTTGCAGGGCACTGTTAAAAGCGCTCTGTTACTGAAGGGAGAATTTGTTCTTTAGCAGTCTCCAGAACTCTTAGGAGGACTGAGGAGGTGAGGGATATGGCATACCCAGCTTTCTGTTGTTGGAAATCAGTTTGGTGGTTCCCAGTTTCTGGCCCTGTGACTCCTCTTGATTGTTGGCAAGTTCTTAGCCAGTTGAGAGTCACTGCTTTAGGGAACAACTGTTGGTTATAAGAGTACTAGCCAGCAGAGTTTGGGAACCACTGATCAAATCAGTTGCAGAAAGAAACTGTTGCTAGCCCAGAAAAGACAGGATCATGGGGGTGGGTCTCCACATGCTGCTGTCCTTTTGAGGGAGTTCATATTATGAGAAAGTCCTGGTGTCTTGAATCATCATAACTGCTGTTGTGATGGATATTTTGAATACCAAAAATTAAAAATGGATTTAAATATCAGTGGAAACACATGAGTCTACATTAGAAAAACTCAGACCTGCCGGTCCAGACATAGAAAAGCTAATTGTCTGAAAGGAAAAAAAAATGTGGGTAAGTAATTTAAAGAATATTCTTAGCTTAGCATTACAAATATTGGGTGATCGGTTGCTCATCATTTGTAATAAATTATCAAACATACTTCTGGGAACATTCCAGGGCAGGATATTCTGAGTTTTGTTTATATGTTCTAGTGTATACAAATTATATTTGCCTTGGGAAAAATTCCAAGTACTTAAAATTATGTTTAAACTTTGAATAATCACACTGAAGTTCAATTTGTGTTAGCTATATTAAATATCTTAGTCACTTGTTCTTGTAACATTTGCTTTTGACAACACATTTTGAGGTCTAAGAAAGATAGTATATTAACAGTGCATTAATTAATGTTTTGTTAGAAACTAAATGTTAGCAAATTTTTTTTGTGTGAAAATGGAACCTTCTTTTGTATTGTATTAACTCTTTTAAACGTATTCAGTCAGTGAAACCAATGATTAATAATATAGCACCAACATTTTTCTTCAAGGAATCATTTAATTCAGTGAATGAAAGGTCTTATAATTTGTTTTGCATGGTACAATGGTTCTACTAAAATGTACTTGTGTAATAGGTACTAGATGATTTAAAATCAAAACTAGAAAACTGTAAAAAAAACTTACAGCTTGTTATACAAAATATGCATTGCTAATTGTAGAAGCCATATATTGCCATTGTACTGTTGTAATACTTAAGATTGCTCATCTGGTGCTATTTGTAAACTATTTGGCATTAGCATCTGCTAGGTCTTCTTCCTATTTCTTGAATGTATAATGTGTGCCTTTTAAGTTACTTCTGGTGTTGAATGGTAAAATCAGTGTGGTATTTTTGTATTATCTGCACTTTACACTTTCTTGGAAAGTAAAATTCTAGACTATCTAGTTTAAATAGTATTTTAAAAATATTTATAATGTTTACAATAAATATTTTACATATTTTAATTCAACATCTAAAAATAGGAAAAATTTTGAAATATTTTGTATGATTTGTTAATTGCTATTTAAAGTTGCTCTCTTCTCAGTTTATATCTTTTAGAATGGTTAAGAATGGGAATAGATTGTAGTTTGTCTTTTAATGTGGAAGTAAATTTTTAAGTAATCAAGTGTATAATTGGATTGTTTTACCAGTTCCAATATATCAACCTTTAGTTTTTATTAACAATAACATGGGTTCCATGTTACTCTCAGCCAACCCATTACAATTATCTTGTCTCCTCACCCATTTTCTTTTTAAAGTAGATTGATTAGGTTTAACTGATTGTTTCAAATTATGATTAAATTTCCAGGGTTAAATAAAAACTATATATAGATTTTATTAAATTTCTTTTTACACAGACTAAATATTGAAAGGAACTAAATATTAAAAGTATTAAATTTTTTTATTGAAAATTCTGGGTTATGTCATTAGGTCTTTTTACTAGCTCTTTATCCTCTTTCCCCAACATTTTTCTAATTCTCTAGCTTTTGGTGTGACATCTATTGCTTCACCAATCTCGCATTTTAAAATTGACAAAAATTAATAGCACTATTAATAACTGTAGCAATGTGTTTGTTATAAGATGGATGCAAGTTATCTTATGGGAATGATTACAAAATCCTGTTGCAGAACTAATCATCTAAAACAATATTTTATGCTCAAAATCCTGAGAACAATTATGCCATGTATCTGTCTAAGGCTAATGTTTTGCAAGAAGCATTCTTGATGAATGTTTTATCTTGAAAACATCCTTCATCTGAGGGATTAATTTGTATGTATCTATAGTTCTGTAATGTCAGTATTTATAATTTCTATTTCTACAAGAATATTTGAATACTCATACACTTATTTCTTTAATTTAACAGATGTCTTTAGTATTCATTCTCATTTTTGTCATAGCATTCTTGGTTATATGACCCGCAGTGAACAAAAAACTTCAGACAATGTGAAACTATGATTATATAGTTCTTTTCTAGGCTTATTATAAGCTTAGTAAGTAGTGGATTAGATGTATCAGGTTAAGCATTGAAGTTTGAGTGAAGAATTACATGTAAATTTACTTTAAATTTATTCTAATTAAAAGATAATAGGAAGCTTCCCCCCCCACCTGATTATCAGTTTGTCTTGTTAATAACTTGCATCCATCAGAAACATTAATATTTGGTTTTGATCATTTCTTTTGGCCTTTACCAAAGGAAATATTTATTTCTTCATTAGAATGATCTTTATTTCTCATGTGTTAATAAATGTGTTTCTTTACATTGCTTTAAAACACTTGCATCTATGCTCTTTTCTAACTTTGAGCTTTCCTCTGGCTGCATCTGAGGTGCTTGTTTCAGGTATAGTTTTTTTCCTTTCATTATATACTTTCCTGGCATTATTTTAGTTGGCCTTTTTTCTTCTCCCCAAAATGCTCACCTGAACAATTTTTTAATGAATTATAGTTATTAGTCATAAAAATGAATATTGTCTTATTAATACTTGTGCAAATTTTAAAAGTGTTCTTATTTTACTTTCATGCAGGTGATGAAACTTACCAGGACATTTTTCGTGATTTTTCACAAATGGCATCCAATAATCCAGAGAAACTCAATCGTTTCCAGCAAGATTCACAGAAATTCTGAATTTTTTTAATAAGGAGAAAAATACAAAATCTGGCAACTTTCTAATATGTACAGCTAAAAACTCACAACTTTTTACTGCTTTAATTCTTCCTAATTTTGGTAGATATTGAATGGTTTGGAAAAAAATTACCATTCATTCATATTTTTACAAATTAAAACATAGATCTCTCATAGTTGGGAGAAGAATCTACTTTAGGACCTCCTTTATTAAGAAAAAAAGCCTGGTGAAAGGGCTATTTTTTTATAGATAAAAGTTTAATTTAGGTTTAGGTCATCTCTAGGTTACAAGATGCTAAGATGTTAGGAAAAAAAATCTTTTTTTTTTTGGTCAATTGGTGGTAGCATTGAGATAGATACATACATACATACACACATATATATGTTTTTTTCCCCATGCATCATGCCCAGGATTATTCAGTCAAGCATGTCTGCATCAAGTGGAGCCAATTATCCTACCTGCCTCAAGAATATGCCTTGTCTTTAGATTCCCTGATGATTTTTGGTGGTTCAGAATTAGGTATGAGTGTGGGTGAGTGGGTGGGTTTTGGTAGCCTAGTTACCATTCATACATCATATGGTTTAGTTACCAGAACTAGAGTATAGGCTTCTTAAATGCCACTGTGGTTTTTAGGTGATGGGTTATTGTCCAGTATTTTAACATCCGTAATGCCTGTACAAGTAGACCATAGTTTAGTCATTCAGATTTATTCCATCGTCTGAGGCAAAGAAGCTCTTACTATTTTTTTCAACTCTCCCTCCTGCTGAAAAGTTACAGCTCTTCATTGTTGGGTGATGTCTTAAGACCTTGACAAATTTATCAATGTAATAAAACTGTTTCAAAGGTTACTTGATTGTTGCAAAATTATGCTTTCATCAAAAGATAACTTTAAAAGGAAAAGTCAATTTATAAAATGATGTAGGGCTTTTTTTATAGTTGAAATTTGTCCCCCACTTTTTTTTTTCTTTTGGGTATCAAGGATTGAACCCAGAGGCACTTGGCCACTGAGCCACATCCCTAGCCCTATTTTGTATTTTACTTAGAGACAGGATCTCACCGAGTCATTTAGTGCCTCGCTTTTTGCTGAGGCTGACTTTGAGCTTGTGATCCTCTTTCCTCAGCCTCTGGAGTTGCTGGGATTATAGGTGTGTGCCCCTGAGTCTGGCTGAAATTTGTCCTTTTAAGATACATTTTTGCTGTTGTTTCTGGTGAAAGAAAAATTTCTTTGTATAAAGGAGAAAAAAAGGCCATTTTTCCTCAATTTATATTAAAATATATAGTAGTGAATTTTTAATTTTTTTCCCTACATCTATCCTGTGTACTGTAAACAGTATACATTCTTTTAAATTATATCATGAGAGTTTGGTCACGTCAATCATAGGCCCTTGAATGCCAAAATGTTGTGAATATACTAGCTTACCATTCATATGCTACAAATTTGTTTGATTCCATCTTTGATTAACATGTCTTATTAACAGTATAGAATAATTTACCTTATGTTTCCTTACCAACATTGTCAACAATTAAGCCTAATTTTTGAGAAATTATACATTAGTATTATTATTGAAACTCAGTTTCTAAATAAAAGGGTTTTAAACTTATAAGAGAGAAATTATATTTAATTATATAGATTTTTTTTTTTTACATTTTCCATTCATAAGAGTCTTATAAATTGATTAAACATCACATCAGAATGTATCTAGGCAGGAATTATATTGAAAAAATTCACATCACAGAAAGAGATTTCATAATTTTGCCAAATTGCAAATATGTAATGCTCATTAGTAATTGCCACTATATACTAAATAAGGATTGAAATATATTTTTGAGTTACTCCTGAGGAAATGCTAATTTCCAAATCATTGTGTTTTAATTACAACATAGCAGAAACATTAAATCTTTCATTTAACCTCAGAGTTCCATATCATCTGGTTTTACAAGTACTTTATCTAAAGGCAAGTCTTATTTGTAGCATTTTATTAGAGCAACCTTTGAAATTAATTGTCTTAAAAGCTCAAGGAAGAGATGTGTTAAACAGAAAGGAAGATGGAGAAGAGAAAAGAAAGCCTCACTTTTCCTTTGCCGAGTCTGCTCTTTGAATTCTAGACTTCATTCCTAAAGCTCCTGACCTTTGGCTGAGGACACTGTCTGCTGGTTCCCTTTGTCTGCAGCCACTGGTGCTTGAGATCACCCCTGGAACCTCTGTGGCTGTGAGGGCAATTCCTTGTGACCCATTACCTCCTTTACCTGGAGTCATGAGTTGTTATTGTGGCAGTAATTAGTTTCTACTTATATTTAATGGTTAGAGATGCATTTGAAGTGTACTGAAGATGTTCATGGTTTTGAATATCTTCAGAGAAAGCTAAATCTTTGATATTGCAGGGAGACTGGCAATACTAAAATACATTTCTGCAGCTTAGTTTTTTTGAGGGCGCTGAGACTCCCTCTGTACTAAATTTGGCATAATAATGGAGTAAACAGCAAGGCTTTAAATTAAATTAATAGTTTCAAGGTAGGTTGACTCTTAGGTATTATTTGCTGTGTCTACCATTAGATTTTATATAGTATATAACAAATCTGAATTTTGTTATGCTATGAACTATTCAGTGTATTATGAGAAATTATAGTATAAAAAATGTTAATACTCTTGGGCTTCTTATCTGCTGGTATTAGTTTCTGATTCTTTATAATTATTGTTAGCTTATTATCATTAGCTCATTAACTTAAAAATGGATTAATATCAAATTAAGAATAGCACCTATTGTGCAGAGTTTATAAAGTACAATTTAATTTTAGAGCTAAAGGTAATTGAGCAGTTATTTGCAAAGCTTCATTTTACATGTGTCAGACTTCTAAAGTTTTCAAAACTATTTTTTTATACACTCCTTAGAAATTCAGAAATTTCCTAGAATTTGTTGTATTACACTGTGTCTAATTATTACTGGTCTTCACTGTAGATTTTAATGAACTTTGGTGTTTACATTTCCAAACAGACTTAATTTATTATGTTCAATTTAATTTTTTACAAATGCATTTTGGTATAAAAAATTAGACCTTCACAGTTTCTGATAATGTTAGCATTATCAGAAATTTTAAATAAATTTTAAAAATTTAATTTTACATGTGTTAAGTGTGGTTACAATGAACCAAATTGTGTTTAAGACTAAATTTACTACCAATTTTGAATAATCAGACATTCCCAAATCACTCTATATTGTCAAATTAACTCCTCTGTTTGATGGCACTTTTGATCATGAACAAGAGCTGGAAAATGATATTTTTTTATAGACTCGAATGTCTAGAATGACTTCAGAGCTGCATGATATGGTGAAAAGAGCACTGGACTAGTAGTCACTATCCTTTTTGGATTCAGGGCTCCTCAAAAAATAAAATGAATGGGTAAAGTAAGGTGAAAATATAAAAACATCTCTTTGTGTGTGTTTTACTATTTTTAATGTTACTTGGACATTTCTTTATTTCACCTGATTTTCACAGTAGGGACTTCTGAAATCTTAAGAGCTTCAGCATTGTCTGCTTTTTAATCCTAGTTTGCGCCTCTTGTTTTACAGAGTGGTCACTTGGTTTGCTAGTTGGTGGCAGAGCTGACATCATAACCCACATCTGACTAATTACAAGTCAGAGGTGCTTTATTTGTATCATGAAATTATTTGAAATCGCTGTAAAGCAGCAAAATCTGATAATGACTGCCAGCTTTCCTGTTTGATAACAAATGCTTCAAATAATTCTGGAGAACCTTGATACAAAGTTTGAAGGAATAGATTGGGGTTTGAAGATATCAGATTGCAGGACAGTCCACGTTTTTGTAATAAAAACATTAATGAAGGCAAAACATTAATAAAAGTTAATTTTAATTCACCGCTTATGAATTCCTTGATGCTTTAAAATGAAAGGTAACTAAAAGAGGCTTGGTTTCAGTTTAAATACTGACACATATAAAGCTGGTTTTTCTGTTTATGTAAATTCATCCACTTAAAATGGAATGTGAGGACAAGGCAGTATTTGATTACATACCATTTTCTCTGCGTGGTTGTTTTCACTGTCTCATTTTCTATGTTTTCCTCAAATCCCCTGTCCCTATTTTGTGTGTTAAACAGGGAAAGCTTGCTACATTATAAAGATTGTTGGCACCATGTTACACAAAGGCTAAAGGTTAATTTTTGGAAATGATGAGCTACTTTTCTACAAGTGTTTACTTGTGCTTTGTGACATTCTTGGATCATTCCAGCCATAAAAACTTATTACATGTAATATTTCTTGTTACCTGTGAAAAGGTTTATTTTAAAGAATGTATAACCAACACTCCCATTTACTGTTTATTACTATGTAGAGGATTTGTATCTAATTCATGAATGTAGTTTTGCTGTAGTTTGTTATTGTAAATGGAGCAAAGTACATTTTCTTTATAGTTATTCTAAAATGTACATTATGTAAGAATTGTAAATATACTTGATTAAGTACTTTGTATGCTGAAAAATTACAATAGTAAGTCAATAAAAATCTCACCTCTGGCATAGTTTTTTAATGCTTTCTTGAGAACTACACTCTAAACATATCTGTTATATTTAGGGTACTGTATGCTTTTTAACCCTTTCAACTTGATCCATGCTATTTGCCAATTATTTCAGTGAAGAAATCCATTTTAAAATATTTTCTTCTTTCTGATCACAGAGCTGTTATGCTTCCTAATTTGTTGGCTAGAAACCACAGAAGGATTTTCTTTCCTAATTTAGGCAATGCATTCTCACTCCATCCTTTTAGTAAATAAACAAACAACATGTTTCTGTATGAATTAGGATTGAAGGAAAGCTGTAAACAGAATGAAGTGAATTGCCTGCTTTTGCCTTTCCTTTTAAAAATTAATTGAAAATAGACACATGCAATTTTACATGTATCTTGCTTTATTCAGCTTTATTTTCAGAAGAATCCTGTGAAGAAAACACATACTGATAGTGAATGTTTTAAACAAAAGCAAAACAGCCTATTTTTTGAGAAAACAATTTTATTTGTAGAAAAGTATTTAAATATCAAGTAATGAAGATGATCATCCATAATTCTATCATCTACCTGAGCTGTCCAAAATGGAACCCACTAGCCACATGTGGCTATTTTAATTATTTAAAATTAGACAGTGTTAAGTTTCTCAGTCATAGTATCATGTTTTAAGAGCTGAGTATCTCCCAATGTGGCTAGTAACTTTTGATTTCAACAGGGCAGATGATAGAACACACATAAGTTCTATACTTCACAGTTGGCTAATATATCTTGAGTCTTTAAATCTGTAGGGCTTCTCTCAATTTTTTTTTTGGGGGGGGGGGTACCAGGGATTGAACTCAGGGGTACTAGGCCACTGAGCCACATCCTTAGCCCCATTTTGTATTTTATTTAGAGACAGAGTCTCACTGTAGTGCCTTGCTTTTTTGCTGAGGCTGGCTTTGACCTTTCGATCCTCCTGCCTCAGCCTTGTGAGCTGCTGGGATTACAGGCATGCACCACTGTGCCTAGCTCAATTTTTTTTTTTAAATTTCCACATGTAGTTTGTTGAATATAGCATTTTAAATAACAGTGTTTTAGTTTAGCCATTTCATTGATGATCACATTTTATTCTAATTTTGCTATACTCTTGTGGCTAAATATTTTAGTACATTCTTAATTATTTCCTTAGGATGAATTCCTTGAAGTGAAAATGCTGGTTTGATGGGTGGATGTATGTGTGTGTGTGTGTGTGTGTGTGTGTGTGTGTGTGTGTGTATGCACACATTATGCATATATATCTTAGGGGTGGATACATATTTTTATATAATTTGATTATTTGTTGATATATATATAA